CCTGGATGTTGTCGGGGAACAGCAGCAGAAGCTTTTTATGGCAGAGGCAGTGTTATCTTTTCTGTTACTACTGAATGACCCTTATCTTTGTGGGAAAATGATTATTTCCAAAACAACTGCCACACTAATGTGGCAGTGTGTGACTGACTTCCCATCTGAGGATGTTTTGAATTTTTTTTTATCTGTGGAAAGATTGGTTACAATCTAAATATAACTGCTTCTCTTTGTAACCTTGTTTCCTTTAGTTTCGGTGTTAGTGATGCTCTTTGGCTACATTGGATGGAAATCAGAAGAGTTCAGTCACAAACACTGACTCATGTTTCTGTCCTTTTTTAAGACAATCATTTTGTTGTGTATTTTCAGTTTTCACACTTTCGCATCAACTTGTACACTTCCTTTTTTTAATTTTCGCATGTCGTTTTGTAACTTTCTCATGTGGTTTGTGTCATTACCTTAGTTAAGTTAACTTTAGCTTTATCATCCATTTCATGGTCTCCACTGACAGCTCTCACGTTAGAGTCTTTTTTCCTGACAGTAAACCAGTTGTGAAGGCTTATTAAGGTCCTTAAATGCTCTTTAAACTTTCCGCATGTGCAGACATCAGCTTAAGTAATGCACATCATCCTCCAACTGTAATGAGCTCACACTTAATATTTCTTCTTTTTTTTTTGTACCGGCAAAACTAACAAAAACTACTCATTGGTCAGGTTGACAGTTGCTGGTTCGGTACATTTTCTAAATCTTTCAGCAGAGGTGCTAAACCGGTGCTCGGTTGGTGTAAGTTTAAAATGAACATCTGACAAAAACACAGCGTCATAAACATTAAGATGCAGATGCCTGCCATAGGGAAGTAAAACATAAAGTTAATCTGAATGCAGCACTGAAAGGAAATCCGCATGTTCTTTTGTGATATTTTGTACTCTTTTCACTTGTTTAGCATAGCTCTGCTGATTGCATCCAAAAAAGCAAATGTCAGGGACGTGGTTCCGTCACACAGGACGGACTCTCCACACAAGGTCTCAATGCATCACCAGTCAGGAGTCTGCCAAATCCTCCTCAGTCTCTTTTTCAAGCAAACAAGGGTTTTGATTTGCCTGCTCAGTAATCTGAGAAGCCACCCGAAAACATTTAGCATTGTTCTAACTTTGCAATTTGCGGCACATCAAATCTACTTCTTTCCTTTTTCCATCTGAAGTTGCTGAGAGCAAAAATGATACATTGATCTTGTATTGAGCACGGACGTGGATGTGATTTTTGTTTTCTTTCTACGTCCATGTTGGACTCAGCCCACAGAAACTTTAATCACCGGGGTCCTAACATTTGGATGATTTTGCTATGCATACACTCTCTTTATGGTGAAAGTGCCCATCATGGAAATAATCACATTTGGCTGAAAAACTGGTCCAGGGCCAGGTCAACCAAATGTGTAATGTGGATGTAAATTAAGAGCAAGTTTATGGGTGTCTGGAAAATTAATAGAACTGAATTTAATGTTCCATAACTGGCATAGTTGTGCAGCATAAGCTGGACGGGACAGGTGAACATTTTGTGTGAAAGTTGTGAGTGTTCAGCTTATAGCCAAAATGTTCACTTTGAAATGACTTTGTTCTCATCTGTTAAGCTAATACCTGATAAACAGCTTCTGTGGATTTTGTACAATGCAGAAAACAGCATAAGAAACTGCCAAAATATTGTTTTGGTTAAAGAAGCTAAACTAGCTGACATATACAACGAGACCACGAAGGTGCTTTTTGTGGATATAAATAGGAAAATAATAGATGCCTGAATCCACTCCAAAGATCTCTTTTATTATCCACAATCCTTTCATCACTTTTTTCCAGCAGGTTTTACATGAGGGATTCAAATTTCAACGGTTAAAGCATTCCTTATCAAATTTCGGGAGATAAATTCCTGACTGGACGGTGGTGATCTGAAGCTAAACGTCTTTGTTGTGCTGTTGAGTTCAAACTAACAAATGTTTCCTCACACATGAAGAGGAGAAGGTGGGTTTTTCTTCTTCATGTAGACAGACGTGATGTTGTTGTTTTGCTTCCACAATAGCCCAGACCCAGAGTCAGTGAGTCAGAGTATTGTCTGAAGTCCTCAAGCTAATTTGGCTGTTAGTGGCCAGCTGTGACCCCGGGTTGGGGGATAAACATACCGCCTTCCATTTGACACGGGCCCAGCGCACAGCGGGGCACTCCATCTCCCCTCGTCTCCATCACATTACAGCCCCTGTCTCCTCTTAGTCATACACCGCTCTCATCCTAATGATCCTGATTAGTTAACGCGCGTGGCAGCGGGGCTGTCATGCTGAAAGCCCCAGCTATCCATTATAGTCCAACTTCTCCCGCTGCCGCAGGTGGCTGTTCCAATAACAGCCCGCCTCTAACCCAGATAGCAGGGAGGCCAGAAATGAGATCAAAAACAGCAAGTGTTTCTCTCCCAATGCAATCACACAAAAAGATGTGCTATATATGGGTGTGGGCCTTCGCCGCGTCCTATTCTCACAGGGTTCTTTAAAGTACCCAATTATCCCCGAGACTCCTGAGAGGTGATCCATAACGGCCCGGGGTCCCAGGAGCCTGAGAGGAAGTAGGTCTCATTATGACAAGGTCAAGGTGGGATTTCTTCCAGCGTCAACATTTTTTTCATCAGCAAGACCTGCAGGTTTGGGGGAGGTCAAAGGTGCAGAAGGATCAGTGAGGGGGGGGTCCACACCTGACCCGAGAAGACGTGCGATGCGTGAACCGGTGAACCTGAACGGCTCAAAAGCCGATATGACAGATAGAGGAAGTGTTAGAGGGTTTTTTAATCCTGTAAATCCATAAAGTAAAAGAGGCACAAACCAACCCTTAAAGATGATTCCATCACAAAGACACTGAAGGCATCATTTCATGCACCGTTAAAGCATTTGTGTGTGTTGCTGTTGTTTCCACGTCAGTTCTGTTCTGAGTGGGAAGCCAAACGGAAATGTCACATCCTTAACAATTACTGCACTTCTCTTCTCTTGTGAGACAATAAGTCAGCGGCATCAGCAGGAGAAATATCCCTGGCTTTCACACACAGTTTGAAAACCTGAATGTTAGGTTGACTTGTATCTGTAAATCCTGTAGGAATGAGTGTGCGTGTGCATGGTTATCTGTCCTGTCCGCCTCTGTGTGGACGACCCATGTTTCTTCCAGTGAAGGCTGAGAGAACTTCCCGTGTTGGAATAAGGAAGAACTGAAAATTAATGGATGGATGGGCTGCAGTGAGTAAAACCATGCTGTGTTTGACCGGATTACAGGTCCTTCAGCTCCTAATTTGAAAACAAAAAGACACTGGAGTTTTCATGATCTGAGAAGACACGGCAGCTTCCTCTCTTCTCAGTAGAGGAAGGGGGATGATGCTATGAGGGTTATTCTCTGAGCCTGTCTGTGACATTAACACCTACACGCTGGTCCTTTAACTTCTCCCGTGCTGCAGTGATGTGGGAGGCTTCACTACACCGGGACACCTGCTAAAGTGGGGCAAAGCTGGGAGGAAGGAGCTTCGGACAGGTGGAGTCGTCACAACAGGCACGACATGCAATCCAAACAAGTGATCACACGTGAGGAGGAATTTGATTGTGTGCCTCTTAAAAACATGCAAAGAGCAGACTTTGCATGAGTCTGGTATCAGCGAAGATTTTTTCGGCCGGTGAGGGAGCTTCCACAGGAGGTGAGAGAAAACATGAGGAGGAACCCCATGCGTAGTGGTCCCTCATCTCGCCATTGCTACTGTTATAAAAGCGTAGTTCACTAATATGTTTGGACGATTAAAAGCAGACAGATATGCATGTGTGGGCAGAGGTAGAGATTATTAATGTAGAGATGCTGGCAGGGGGTTGGTGTAGTGTCACTGTTGGAGGCAATTCTCTATGAAACACACTCTGATTCATTTGATGATGGTTTGTGATTCATAAGTGTAAACAGCTGAAGGAGGAGATCGTGAAAAGCAAACAAATTGTGAGGCATAATGTTGCTCAGACCCAAGGCTTCAGGTTTGAAGTCTGGTCAGTGCACTTGGCCTTCTCAGTGCTTATTTTTCTTCATGTTCTCTCACCTCTCCGGTCACTTCAGACCAGGTTAGCTGAGCTTTTTCTTTTGTCTGAAGTTTGGTTTCCATTTTACATCCAATCAGTTGTACTTTATTTGAAGAATTGAAGCATAATAATCTTAATGGATGTTTAATCATTGCATGCTTAAAATTAGCTTGCATATGTTAAAATGTTAGAGAATAACATTCTATATACACAAATATCTATGTATGAATATCTAAATACTGTATGCACTTAACAGACAAACATATTCAAACACTGCTGCTACCCCAAATGACTCATTCCTAGTGTTTCTCAGCAGTTTCAAAGGGAAACCTTATTAAAACATATCAGACACTGTAAACCTTTGCTCTGCTTCTTAGCCTGGCAGAATGAGAGCAAACCGCAAAACCTTTGAAAAGACGTAAGAGACAGAGATAAGGTGTGTGTATGTGTGTGTGTAGGGGGGGTGGTGCAGAAGAGACAGCTGAGTCACTCTGGTGTGGGGGCTCTGGTGGCGCTGAGGGGGCAGTGAATCATCAGGAGCCTTATTGAATATTTCCTCCATCCGATGTCGTTATTGCCCCGGTGATCATCACTCCCATCAGCAGCACTGTTCATGACATTCTGTACTGCAGACAGCACCAGGCAGGCAGCTGGAAAAGCAGCTCGGGGGGGGGGGGGGGTGGGGGGTCTTTAAGGTAAAGGGGGAGTAGCTGTTGGAGAAATTAGACGCAATGTTTCCCTAAAATCGAGTGCAGCTTTAAGGAAAACTGTTGGTAATTCTGGGCCTCTGAGCAATCTCGCCGTTACTCTGCGTGCAGCATCTGCTGGATGTGAGTGTGTGGGCTCTAATCAACACAAGACCATCATCTGCTGCAGCACAGAAATTCTCTGCTGAGCCCACACACACACACAAACAAAGACGACAGGCGTTGTCGCGTTGAAGTCATTTCGGATTTTATTAGAAATGGATCCGATTTCAACTCAAGCAGTTGTTTCGTTTTACCATCAGAGTGCCATGCATACAAAATGAGATTCAAAGTGTCCAACTGTTAGTGCCTCTTAAAGTTTTTTTTTTTTTAAGGGGTCGATATCAAAGTCTTTTTCCTGTGCAATTAATATTCACAGATATGTACATTCAAATTAGTCAGCCTCAAATCAAGCATCATTTCAAAAAGAAACCAACATTAAAAGTAAAAAGTTACAAAAAATTCAAATGAAACAATATATTTCTCTCTTAAAATATAATTAATAACATGAATTAAATTATGATTGCTTCATTTTGAACCATAGGCACGTCGTAGATAGGTGAGGCGTCATGGAAGCCAAATGGAGGCCATGTATCTCCTCTTCTCCTCACTGCAGCTGATGTTTGTGTAAACAAAATCATTGAGCTATCCCGCAGCCCGTGTAGGGACCATTTCAGAAAAACAACAAAAAGGAAGAAAGCAAGAAAAACGGTGAGTGTTTCCTCATCACATCGTAGTGATCCGATATGTGGAAAACCAGAATCGACTCATCCAGGAGCTCTGTCACACACGGCTTTATGGCTCACAATGATCGGTTTCTTTGGTATAAAACTACCAGGATTTCCTAAAAACCACAATAATGTTACAGTAAGGAGCGGAAAACAAAGCTTCATCTTCTCAATCTTCGCAAAACTGGTGATTACATGTCTTAGCAGGGTTAGTCTTTAGGGAAGTGAGGGGGTTCGAGTGATGAGAATAAACAGCTGCATCACATCTGAGCAGACAACAGTGGCATTACAAGAGATGAAAGAGTTCAGAACAAATAATTCAACTCTCTAAAGACTGCTTTTATGTTAAGAAATATTCACACACCCGTGTGAACATTTGGAATCAGCCTATTCACTTCGACTGGCTGACACCAAGTTAGGTTTGGCAGCATGTGTGATTTGATTCAAAAGACAGAAAAGCTTCAATAGGAATCTTCCCTTTCCATGAAGAGGTTGAGTTGTTCATTTAAATTGTAACAATTTAATGATGACACCGCGTGATCCAGAAAATCAGAATAGCTTGCTTTACATTTGCGTTATTCCACACGGCCACTTTTTACCAATCAGGAAATTATAGGGAAAACATTTTTGATTTAGCTTCTTCCAAACAATGAAAATAAACCAGACTGTTTAAACCAGACTGTTGAAAGTCAGGAAATGATACATTAAGTAAACAAATCTCTAGATAGGCTTTTAAGAGATTAAGCATTTCCCATTTCAGTCTCTTTCATTAATTTAATAATGGCCTAACATGGAGAGTTTGGATTTTTATATAAAATGTTAATTTTCATTAAACACTTTGGCTATTCTGTCTCCAGTGCTTTAGGGGACTCCACTCAGTCCCCCGTACGCAGCGATGAGATGAGCCTTACGGATAATTATGCAGATTCGTTTATCCTGGCTTTCACTGAAAGCCCTAAAAAGTACCATTATTTTTTTTCTTGTGTCTGAAAAGTAAAATAGTAAAACGGGGAAGGAGGACATACCCGAGGTGAGTAAGAGGAAAGAGAGGGACAACAAAGGAAGGAGTGGAATGAGCTACTAGGTCATTACTTTCACTCCGTGGTGACTGATGAGACTCCTATGTCCTGGACAGTATTTTTGGGAAGCTCCACATGTCTACTGAGACATGAAAGTCGCCAAGGTGACCTGTTTTCACCATGATCAACTACGCAATTCAGAGTGGCTCCTGAACAGGAGGGGAAAAGGCAAGAAAAATAGGAATCCGTTTCCCCCTCGAAGACTGCTAATTTGGCACACTCCTTTAGCACAGCATCTTCAATTAAAAAAAAAAAAAACCAAAACAACAACCAAAAAAAGAAACCCAACAACTGCTCCTTGTCAGTGAAAGCACATGCTGATATACTGGATTTACCTAAGGCAAAAAGGATTGTGAATAAGTGTGGAAAGTGCTCTGTGGATGCCCCGTCCACAGCTCTCAGCGCGCTGTGGAGACAGACTCTGAGGGCCCCCGTTAGAGTGAAAGCACTGGATGGTGAGGGAGCCCCCCCCCTCTCCTCAACGCTCTGATGAACCCGACCAGCTGAGTCAGGACGAGTCCCCTCCAAGACGCCCTCCCCCTTTTTATCTGGGGACCTCTCATTGGGACATGTTGAGTAGCTTGGTGGATTTATTGGGGTAATTGATGGCCAGGCTGATGGCTGCGATGTTCTTCAGGGCCTGCACAATAATTAGAAAAAAAAAAAGAAGTGAGAATGAGAATAAAAGTCACAGTACTGGAACAGGGAGGGGGGGGAAAGTTTTTTTTATAGCCTTTATGCCATAATTTACAGGGAATCCACCACATCAAAACCTTTTTGGGATCCAGACTGGGTGCAAGGGCCCAAAATGAACACTAATTTTAATTGTATCTAATAAAAATAACAACAAAAAACCGATTCTGATTTACAGTCAGTGTCAATCTAAACCAAACAATCAGGTGGGTGACTTGACTTAAGTCCTTTAGAACTTGGAGCTGTTTTTAAAAAAAATTGTAATTGTGATTATTGATGATGATGATGATGCTAAATCTGCACTTTCCATCTAATGGCTGCTTACTTCAGTGCCTTAAAAGGTGGCTTACATCTTTTGGGTAGTTTAACTCCAGTAATTCTTATATATGTGTATCATGAAGGGAATAAATCAAATGAAGGCCACTAAGGATAATTGTAAAAATGTGACCAGAAACAAACAAATAACACGCCAAGAGAAGGTAGAACCAGTAGGGGAGTTTGACGAAACCCCAGCAGGTGAAGCTGTGATTTTTGGAAGGCTTCCAGACATCTTCCCCTCCTGTTAGAGTGAACCTGGGCTAGTTTGTGATTAAACTTTGCAACATCAATATCATAAAGCTTATTTCCACTGTGCTAACTTACCCACAGGTTTGTTTTCAACCTGACAGGTATTAGGTAACTGCTCAACAGAACCACCCACAATGTTCTTTCACCCCCCCACATCCTCTGCTGCTCTGGACCGCCTTCAGGCTCCACTGCTGTATTACGGGGCCTCAGCACCGAGGACGCAGTGGCTCGCTCTGCCACAAATGCTAATGGACTGTAATTATCAAATACATTAGCCATGAGCACAGCCCACACACGTTCAAAACAAGAGGAAGGGGGTGCCGAGGGATATGCTGGGTGTCCACAGCTCGGTGATTCACGGGAGAAAAAAATAAAAAATAAACGAAGACTCCAGTCGCCAGCTGACTCACAGCAACTGAAGCCTGTTCAGAAAGGGGGGACTGCGTGGTCAACAGAGGCTTATGCAACACTTTAAGATGCTCCTTTGAGTTACTGTCGTGCTTACAAGGCACCACTTGACAACTGAGAACATCTAACATGACCCAAGAAACTCTAGGTGAGCGGGAAACTTTGAATCCTAAGACAGACTCAGCAAAAGGTATTCGGCGCAGAAGCAGAGTAAACGTCTTACCATCGCGGTGTGATTGATGAGCTGCTCGTCGGTGGTCATAGCCAGCAAGTACTCCTGGAGGATGCCCTGTGTCTGCAAAACCCAACAAGTGATGGGAATGAATGCATTTTCTGCACATAATGAGCTGCACTGGTCAAGCAGTACAGCTGTCCTGAACAGCGGGCGCCTTCTGGCACATGAAGCTGCATAAAGGATGTACTCGGTCACCAGTGGTTGCCTGACCACTCTTTGTCTTTGAGTGTTAAACTGAGATGTGGATAGATTCTCATGATTATAGACCAGAGTGCATCTCCTGGACAGAAGTAGCTCATATTGAGTAAGCACGAGAAGTTGGGAAACGTGGATAACGACTTTATGGAGGCTAGATGGGCTGAGACTGGCCAAATAGAGCTTTTACAGCTCTGGAGACAGAGTCCAGAACCCTGGTTCACCATTCATCTCACAGCATCCCGTATGTTTATGTTGGGGGAAACATCCCAGGACGATTTGTACCGCCAACAGTGCGTGACATACCATCTTGATTTCTAAATATAACGTTCACTTCCTGGGGTAAAAAGTTGATTAAATCTCAGAGGACTTGGCCATAAACTTCAAGCACACACACAGAGTGAGAACTAATGTTAAAATGAGAAAAGCTATGACACTGAACCTTTCACAGAAACATTTTTGCATGCTAACATCAAACGCAGTCACAGAGGATTAAATGATGTATTAACAGAGGCTGCAATTAGCTCTACACAATTTAACTAAATGTCCTTGTGGAGTTGTACATTAACACAGCAGCAGTGCTCATATCTCAAAAATACACAAGCGCCGCCAGTTGACAGTAAGTTCTATCATCTATGTCATGTATTGGAAGTAGAAACTTACAACCGATGAAGGTTTTCAGTTCTGATACCCCATTTCTGGATGGACTGCATTTCATCACGAGAAGCAAAAACTAAGTGTTTAAAATGTTGTTTTTAGTAGACCCCAAAAAAGAAAATGTCCAATTTGACTTCAGCCGTGGTCTCAGACTATTTCAACCTGTGGTGAATTGCTAGAGGCGACTGATAATGGCAGGAAACACTTTTGTGTTGTGTAAACGACTGCGACTATGATAACGCTGTGCTGGGTGCAGATTGTAGGCTATGTTAGATGGCATCATGTTTCACTGCGGACACCAGAAGTCCATGAAAAGCTCCACAGGCGAATCAGCAGAGTACTTCTACTGCCCCCTGCTGTCTGCTCAGGCATACTGCCCAAATTAAGTTATTACCTTCCCAAATATGAAACACAGACTGGTTGAGGATATGTGATGCTCAGCTTGTTCAACTGTCAGATACAAGCTTCAGGCCTCGGTATTAAAAAGAGTATAAGCAATGTTTTGCTTTAAAGGTCTTGTTTCATTGACAAAAGGGAAACTCCTCGGTGACGGGAGTGCTCATAATCCCAGAGATGGCTGTTAATATCTCGAGGCAAGTAAGGCAGGGCGACAAGAACACATTAAAAAATGGTCAGCATTTTTTCAAGCAGTTTGCATGGAACCATAGAGGCGCTGCGCTGTTTGGCAGATGGCACGGCGGGGCTTTGGCCCCAAGCCATCACAGAACAGGTGGGCCGTTGGAAAAACATGGTGATCTTACAGAGAGACGGATATAAACAGGCAGAAGTAAAGAAGAAAATGTTGACTAAATTCTCTCCTCACACCTCATAACATGTGCTGATGTTCTTTTTAAAAAAAAAGGCAGATTTTGAGAAACTATTTGTACAGAATAAACTCTATTTAAGCTTCACAATGCTGCTGACATCACAGTACACATAATTAAAAAACAGCTGAATTGTCATATACTTTGAAAACACCTCTTACTTCAACAAAAACGTCGGTTTAATACCACACGTGGGTAGCTTCTGTACATTCTTTGTGTGCTTGGCTACATTCACTTATCCACTCACCATGGCACGGGCCTCTGCAATAAAGAAGAGTTCAGTGAGGGCTCTGTGGAGAGGCAGCAGCACAGTGATACTGGTAGGATCCTGGCTCAGGTTATTTTCCATGGAGATAAAGAGCTGCCACAAAGGTCTCAGCAGCGTCAGCTCACAGGCTCTGAAACACATTTAAAAACAAAGAAATCCACGTGTGTGTGTGTGAAAAACATTGTTAAAAAATTATTTTATAAAAAACATCTATTCAGTTGCAAGAGGATGAAACCTATTTGATTAATTTACAATTAAATTCAAATCCACTACTTCATGAAAATTATTCTTGTGACATTGGATGGTTCAAATGATGACTAAATACCTAAAGTTCAGATGCTGTGATGCCGCTGCTGTCAATGTTAGCTTTTCTTTTTCACAAGTTTGTCATCATGACTGGACAACAGCAGGGTGAGTTCAGACTTATGCAAATGATTAAACACATACTTTTCCTAATCTCCCTGGTACTACCTGTAGGTTTATGAAAGGCTCTATGCAAAACACATGTGCAGGTGCATACCTTTATGGTGGACTCTAAAAATACCCACTGAATTAGCCCTTACTATGGGACTTTGAGGGCTAGCGGTTAACTAAGAAGAAACTGGGAGAGAGTGTGATTATGGAACCAGGTGGAACTTACGTCTGGGACTGGCACTGCAGTAGACGGAGCAACAGGTGAATGGCTTTGAGTCGTTGGCTTCCTGTTTGGCGACAGGCCACACCCACTTGCCACTCCCAGATATCAGCCAGCGGCAGGTGACCGAGCACTTGATCGTCAGCTAGCATTTGCTTCAGTATCTCAAAACCTGATGAGATGAGCAAACATAAGTGACAAAGGATTCAGTTTACATATTTTAGGAAATTTAGGTTGTTTGCTAAATGATTTAGGGCAGAGATGTTAATAGTGAAAAGCACCTGTCTGGAAACGCCCCCTGTGGCCCCCTGTAACGGTGAACTTGTAGCCCCACTCTGTGTTGCTCATGTCTGACATGAACCTGTAGTAAAGGGTATCGCCTAAAAAAGGAATCAAAAAGAGATATTATCAAACATGATTTTGACTGTGTTGAACCCAAAAACCAGAGGAATATCGAAACTGTTCTCACCAGGGATCTCGAAGTCAGACCATTTTTGGGGAGATCCACTGAAGTTGTGGACATCCTGAAGGAAATCGCAGCTGCTGGACATAATGAGTTCATCGCAGCCTTCCTCTGTGTAGCAGCGGGAGTCAAATTTTACAGACAGGTAGATGGCCCCTGGGATGTGCACCTTGTCCTGAAGACAGAAAGAGATGGTAAGCAATCATTGTAAAACTTAACTGAGCAAACATACAAACAATTAAAAAAAGGAAATCATACCTCATTAAATAATACGGATTAAAAAGATCACCCACCTCGAAGTTTGTGTTGTTGTCATATGGATGTTTTGACTCTCTGACTTGCACGGCCATGCCCGGTTCTTCCATGAATTGGCAGGCAGTGAGTGACAGACTGCACAGCATACACTGGCTGCAGCCCTTCAACACCCTCTGGAGAATCTGTTGATTCACACATCACATTATCACATACCTTATATTCATACTGCATTTGTACCGAACCTCATTTTCTCTTGTACTGGGGAAACTTTTCTCTCTTCCTCCTCACCTTCTCCCACAGCGGTCTCTCCTCCAGCTGCATCAGCATGTCCAGGATGTAGGCCATGTGCGACGCCCCGTTCAGCTCCAGGGCCTCCTCGCTCAGCGGCGCCTCTGCGGGCCAATCAGCCAGCAGCGAGGCCAGCACATGACGAGCGTACAGCGTGGCGATGGCCTGGTTGACCTTCACCAGGTACTGGCGGACTGCTCGATTGCTGCGGACATCCAGTTCTTTGTGCAACAGCGCTGAGCTTTTGGAGCGCCTTTGCTTGGCATAGCTGAGCTGCAAGTCGCTCTCTGAATTAGTGATCAGCTTTTGAGCGACCACATTAATTTCTTCTGTAGCCTTTTCACAGTGACTGGGTTTGGACTGTTGGGAGGAATGGGAAAACACCAGAACTTTGACATATAAAACACATCATCTCCAAATGTCACAGCTGCTACTGTTGATATTGATCATTTCAAATCTCTGTTTAATACATTGTTTTGTTAAGCATCAGAAAAGTACTTCATAGCGCTTACCATGCAAGACACCACTATCATGTCAGTGTCCACTGCCTTGGTGTTCCTCTCCTCAGAACGAGGCCTCCTGGATGGTTGCCATTTCTGAGCCAGCGTTCGGATTGTCTCGTCTGTCTTTATCTCCTCTCCATCAAATCTGGAAATAACAGATTAAGAGAAGCTATAAAAGATTGTAGAATATGATTTTATATTATGGACTGAGCAAACAAAAGAAAGAAATTGATTTTGTGCACATAGACTTTCTGACCTCTTCTGAACCTCTAGGAAGAAGGAGTCAGTCCTCTTCATCTGCAGTTCATACATAGCTCGGAGAATTGGCAGGGGGGCATTTAAGGCATCATGGGTGATCTTTATTAGAATAAAAGGGGGGAAAGTAATAAATGATTAGGTTTCACTATATTTTCAGGTCTATATTCGAGAAGTAATTCTCATTACCTGGAAGCAAATCTTCGTCTCTTCATCGAGACCTTCTAAGGGGTCGGGCTTGTTGACGTCAGTGTCGTCAGCACAGGAACTGGAGTGGTCTGAGTCGTGCTCCTTCTCCTGCTCTCTCTGGTCTCTCTCAGGATCCTGAGCCATGGAATGGATTTCCCGTTTGGAGGAGTACAGCATGATGGAGAGAATTTCCAGGTCTCTCAGTAGCCACAGCTTGCTGAAGCCGGTTCCCTTGCTGCACTTCCTCACCAGCAGCTGGGTCAGTCCTGACTGCTGGATGGCCTCCTGTGCTTGCTCCACTCCATGCTTCTGCACGAGACCAATGTGTGAGGAAAAAACTACATCTGTACAGAGACACTTCTGCTATGTTATTGTGGGTTTTCAGAGCAGATACCTTCAAAGTGTTGTAGAGGCCTTTCAGAGCTAAAGACAGGACCCACGAAGCTTCCACAGCATCAGGAGAACCATTCTCTTGGCTTGCCTGCAGTAAGTGGCTGATAATTGAGGTGAAATTGCTCAGGTAGCGACTGAGAAGGGTCTTCTGGCAGCCCTGGCTCTCAGACTGCCCTGAGGAACAGGCTGCGGTGGAATCCTGAGACTGAATAAGCTGGTAGTCCTTCACTATGAAAGACAACACAACACTTGGTTAACGCCATGATTATTAAGCTTTACAGACTATGCTGGTCGTGCACGGTGCCAACCTGTTTTCCTCTTGCGTGTCTTTACATCCACCACAGCAGCATGGTTTTTCTCTGTGAAGTGCTTGAGCAAGATCATGTTGTGCTGTTCGTTAGCGTTGTCGATGAACACGGTCTGGGTGCCCACGCACAGCACCTGACGGAGACACGGGGGAGTCACAACAGGAGCTAAAGTCACACTGCACAATCAGGCAGCCACATGCGACTTCAGAAGAACATACTGCACACCTCTGGGAAGCCCACCAGCACCAGCAGAGTGAAGAGGTTGGTGCGTTTCAGAGTCTGTGGCAGCTGCTGCACGCAGTGGTCAGTGAACGCAGCGATGACTGTGCTCCACTCAGGACAAGCATTCAGACTGTGTAAAATGTCTGCTACAGTGCACGCCCAGTCCAGACCAATACGACTGCAAACAGAGCAAAGCAGGAACTTGTTAACAATCCTTTACACGGCGTAGGGTGTTTGAAGGGTTCTAATCTAAAAGTGAAACTAAACAAACAATGGATACTAAAAGCAAAGTCTTCAGATGAAATTTGTCATTTGTCATGAGCATTTCTCACAGTAGACCTCTCCTTAAACTATTCATTTTTTGACCAGTCATTGGGAAAATTGATAAATGATTTCAACATTTTTACTTTCATGGTGTATTCCTAATGTTACCTGTCTAAACAGACTGCCCCGAGGCTGAAAAGGAGTTGGGTGGTCTTCCACCCCATGGTGTCTGAGCAAACTGCCTCTCCTTGAGCCAGCAGCTCATATTTGTCTGCCAGAGCCTCTGTGACGGCAGCATCAGCTTCCATTGGCGCGATCCGGAGCAGAAGCTGCCCCAAGAGTCCCAGGGTGAGGTGGTAAGTCTCGTTCAGAGAGCCAGCATTGGAAATGACAGCTCTGAAAAGCTGGGGCAGGATGGAGCTTAGACTGGGCAGAGACAGGGTGCTGCCCTGAGGACACAGGAGAGGAGATACAAATATCCTCTTTAGACGTTATGGAAAGTGGATGAGTATGAATACATAATAGGTACAAAGTCCCACCTCTGTTACCAGGAAAGCAAACCATTTCCTAATGTCCACTCCTTATGCTCAGCTAAGAAAATCAGCTGCACACTGTTACGTTAAATTAAACTAATGGGAGTGGCTATCACAGTCTTTTTTAAACGAGTCTCAATGATTAAAGTACTTCTGCAATGTTACAATAAATCCCAACCACAAAACGGTTCGGACATCACATACTGGCTTGGCTGGTGGGAGCATTGCAGCTAAAAGACCCAGGATCCTCTCTCTGGAGCATTCTGAAAACACATGCTCCTGCAGGGGAACCTGTGGCAGCCTTTCATCTGTCTCCTTGGCAATATCGGAACCTGGAGACAGGGCTGCATCTGGTCCAGAATTAGTAGCTGAGGGCAATTAAAAAGATTCAGAAAGTTACAAAACAATCTTAACCACTAATTATGAACAGCAACCATCCAGGTGAAGGTAATCTGGATACTTACGCCTGACCACTGGGGAAAGAGGGTCTTCACTGGACACAGATGGAGTCTTGCTGAGAGTGGCTGAGTCTAGAGTGTCTTGAGGAACCAACTTCTTTTTGTCGCCCTCTGCAGAGACTGGGGGGAATGACCCCTCTGCAGCAGCAGGCGAGTTAACTTCTTTAGCCTTTTTCTCTTTACCTGATGGTTTGGTCTGGCAGGGAGAGCATAACAACTATCAAAATGCTGCAAATTATTCTTATGACAACATTATATTTACAAAATACTTGCAGGCATCTTAATCATTCAATCCTTATAATATTTTCTTACATCGGCTTGGTTAATCACTTTGTCCCTGGGAGATAACGGAGAGCAGACTGCAGCAGTGCTGCCGGGGATAGAGGAGGTGTCAGTGGCTGTACTGAGGTCCTGAGAGGACTCAGGAGAGACTGGACACAGCTCGCTGTCAGAAGCTGATTCATTGGAAGACAGCAGAGCAATCAAGGCTGAGGAACGGAGTCCTATTGGAAGGACAGAAAGACAAGGGGAAAAAAAGTCAAGTGACCCCTCTTGATAGTTTAGATTTCTGTAAATGTTGACAGAAAAATGTTGACAGAAAATAATAAAAGAAATTCCCAGTTTCTGCGTAAAGAACTTAGACATTTTTAGAAATATGTTTTTTTTCTTTTTATGAACATTAACCGTAAACAACCCAGCCAAATAACTAAAAAAAACTCTAATTTAAAACTCTACCTTAAAAAAATTGAAAATTTATTTTGGATCTACCTTTCCCAGTCTGCCCCTTGAGCAAGCAATCAGTGATGAGTTGGGAGCAATGTGTCTGCAAGGCAGATGCCTGGTCCAAAGTCTTGTTGTCCAATGGCTCTCCTTCCATATGTCTTTCACTGCTCAGCTCTGATGTATAAAGAGCCAAAGCAGCAAAGAGCAGCCAGGAGTAGTTGTGGATGTAAGGCTGGATGAGGCGGTGGCGGTCGCTGATTCGTATGGTCACCATGGGGTACACAGTGATCCGATGAGTGGGCAGATGACTTAAGATTGAACATTAAGAAAATAATTATTTAATGGACCACACAGGCAGGAAGCAAGATGTATTTTGACGAGACCAAATTAAACCTGAAATGTGTTACCTGTCGGGATACTTTTTTGCATTGTAGCAGCCAAAGCACAAGTCAAAGTCCTCACACACGTTACAGTTGATCCTGCTGCCTACAATGAGCCCCTGACAGTGGTCACAAGCATATTCCATGTTCACCATCTCATGATCATCTTCATGGCCTTCAGGCTTGGCACCACCTGTTGACCATGGACACACAGAAGTGTAATAAGTAAAAGGAACTTGCTTCCCAAAACATTAGATTGGTGGTGTGGAGTGTGAGCTTACTGAGGAAGCATGTCTTGCAGAGGTCCATATCCATGCACTGCAGACATCTGTAGCGGTGCCAGGGTGCCATCCGCTCGCAGCCATCACAGGAGATCACCACGTTGAGCAGGTCACAATAGCGAGCGATAAACATGTGCATCTGCGGACGCAACACAATCAATTTGATCTTATTTGAACTTATTGTAATTGAATTAATTCTATCTTATTGTGTTTATTGTTCCAAACACTGTTATAATCAGATGGTTGTGCTATTTTGTCTATTTGTATGATGCAAAAAAAAAAGGCATAAACAGCAAATAAGGCTTTATGCAAAAGTGCACTTTTGCAAAATTATGGGTTGTCACATACCTTTCTCTTGTCTTCTGTTGATTCTTCCTCATCAATTTTGTCATACCACTTCTCAAACATGCCATCCATGCACTCATCCATCCATTCCTGGTTCTTCTTGTAGTCTGCAATTTCGTCTTCCTCTGTCCATTGACTGAGCATAAATTTCAACCACAGAATTAATCAATCAATCCGTCACTCATTTTACATATCACTGTATTTTACAATTACGAAGGCAACAAAGCAGTTGATTTCATGTGTTGAGCCTATTATTACCTTATGGCGATGTCATGAACACTGATATTCTCCTGGGACATGCTGAGCAGGAGATCAGGAAGCTTGATGCTCAGGAAGAGTGAAAGGTCGTGTACCTCCCAGTTCATATCTAGGAGGTGCAACAAGCAGGTCTGCACACATGAAAGGGCTGGTAGAAGAGCCCTGGAGAGGAATGGTGGGGATCAGGTTACTGCACGGACCTTTACACTTTTCATTTTAATTCATCATGTTATTAATCAACACAGAGGGTCAGAGGAAAGTGGCTTACTTCTCATTGAGGCTACTGAAGCCCTGTACGGCCTCCACCAGCATGAGCACCAGCTGATGATAGGTAAGCCTCACCTCCTCTCCAAGGTTTTGCCCACTGTCCGACAACTGAGAGAAATAACTGAAAAGGACAGCAAAAAAATCTGAATAACGAAAAGCAATATGTCTGCATTTCATGATTAAATGGCTTTAATCATTTCCATATAAACGTTAACTTAAAATTTGACATTGAAAAAACAGCTTCCCTTGAATATGATACAGTTAAACAGAAGTCAAAGCAAACAAATTGTGTTTTAATATGGTCTTTACAAGCTCCGAGATATAAGAAACTGCCTTAAGTGACATCCTGTCATGGCTAAAATCACCAGTTTACCATTTAGGCAAAAATAATGACAGTCATAGTCGAGTTTCATAATAAAAATCAAGACAGTTAGTTTTGCAGTTTTTTCTCTTAAGCAAGAGGTGAAAAATAAAATATTCCACTTTCTGCCAGACAATCAAATATGTCTTTTTCAGAGGGCATTTTACAAATATAAAAGAAAAATATAATTCATAAACAAAGAAGAAATTGCAGACATACCTGGTGAAGTCCTTCTGACATGCCAGCAGCTCTTGTAGGAATAGGATGCAGGGGGCTTGGAAGAGATGAGGCTGTCCCAGGGAACGTAAACACTGCTGCACCATCTCCAGAACCTTGCACACACTCAGAGCCTGTGCCTTGCTCAGAGCTAGGGTGTGTAAAACGCTACAGGAAGAGAAGATCAATTAAATATGCATGGTATAAATGGAAAATGGATGGATGGTATAAATGTGGTAAATTAATGAGTCATTTTGCACAAACGATTCAGCTGAGAAATCGGTCACCTTGCTGTAGTGAGAGCCTGGTCCTTTATGAAGTTGATGATGTGTTTGAGTATGGGGTAGCATTCTTTGACAGAGGAAGTCATCCGCGGCTCCTCGATAGACCGGCAGGACAGGAGGCGAAGACGTGACCGACTAAATGGAGCTTTACGAGTGAAGGTAGAGGGTGAGGCTGGCTCTGCTGGCTGGGACGAGAGACTCTCTGTGGAGCCTTCGTGGCCTCGCTTGCTGTGATCGCATGAAGACGAACTCGGGATTTGAGTGCTGGACGACTGACTGGGCTTTGTCCCGGCATCACTGCTTTCCTGAGGCCCATCAGTCTGAGGGCCAAGAGAGGAGCTTGCCTGGAAGTCCCCTTCTGAAATTGAACTTGAGCGGAGAAGCGGAACAAAGCTGCCCTCTGCTGCTTTTGAGGGGTCGCTGCCCTGACACGTTTTTCCACAAGGAGCAAATCGAAACAGCAAGAGGCTCTTCTCAATGCACATCTCGGCTAAGGGAAGAGAAAGTGATCAAAATGAGCAAAATAACATTTATGGGATGAGGTTTGGAAAGATATTAGCTTCAGTCCTTACCAAGTGTCTCCATGGTAACCTCATTGTGACTTCCCTCTTTATCATCAGGAAGGTTCATTTTTCCAACGAGGTATCTCTGCTTCATTTCCAGCTGCCAGGAAACAAGAAGACACCATCAGCGGCTCAGAAGAAAATCAGCAGAGATGGTAAATTCACGTCTGAAGAACTCACCATCCATGTTCTGATGCTGTCCGCCAGAGAATATACTTGCAGAAACTCTTCACTTAGACAGGATTTACAGTCTTGATTAACTGCTCACACAAACATGCAGAGAGGGGACATTTCAACCAAGATAAGTAATTAGCCATGCTGTATTATTGATGACCAAACGTGAATACGCTTGAGAGCCACACATTACCATAGGTCTTCAGGCTCTGAATGAGGGCTGGTGTGTGGTACACCATGGCCGCCCAAATGGCATTCACAGCTTGGTCCGTCTTAGAGCCAGCGGCAATCTCGTTTCTCATTAGCTGCTTTCGACAAGACTGCATGAGGCTTCTCATCAGCTCTGTTCTACTGTCGGTCAGGTCTTGGGAAGGATCCCAACGAGCAAAATCCTCTAGGAAGACCATTAACTCGTCATGAGTCCATGTTTTGGTCTACAAAATAAGATAACAGCAGCAGTTTTTACTGGTGCCTGTGTCCAATACAATGTAATCAAAATAATCTTTTAATCTACACACTGTATTTGTAATACATGGCATTACCTGATCTGAGACTGTTCTACGTCGTTTTGTCTCCCTTGTTTCACACAACCCGTGCCGTAGGATTGGTTTCCAAAGAGGTGAAGACTGAACATGGGACATTTTCCCTGGAGGGAGCTCCTTTACAGTGCGAATCTCTGAAGTGGACAACAACAACTCACAAATATCAACATTCCAATTGTAAAATCAAGGATTTGAACAATTAGCAAATTGCAAAATTAAACTCGCCTGCCAACAAAACAAGTATGTTTATTAAACATGACATTGTGAATCTTTCCATAAAAAAACAAAAACAAGATTTGGACAAATTATGTTCAAAGCAATGCGATTTCCTGGTTGAGGTCTCAGGTGGTCTCACCATAGGGAGATTTTAATGCCAGGGTTCTGGAGGCAAGGCGACCCATCAGGCGAGCCACCAGCAGTTGCAGGTCTGACATCCACGACAGGGTGATATCAGGTAGACCCAGGGCTGTTACGGAGAACTTGTAACCCCACTCATTATTGCTGCTATCAGAGTGGAAGAGGAACTGAAGCTGAGGGCCAGCATCAAACGTCACCTTCTGCAAAAGCAAAGAGGAAGATACAAACGCTGAAAAGATCCATCCAACAAGACTCATCTGTGCTGCTACAGTGGAAGTGGATTTTGATTTACCTTTGGCCACTTTTCAGTTCCAACCTTCATATCATAGCGCACTTTCCCGCCTCGAGAATCAGTGAACTCTAGATAGTCGTACCTGTGAAAAATGACATGATTCGTTGGAAAATTCGTCTTTGGAAATACAAATTTGAAGCTGCCTGATCAGTCACCTTTTCTCTGTCTCACAGCGTTCGTCGAATTCCACCTCGAACGAGGTCGCACCAGGACAGGCAAAGATGGTGGTTTCGTGGCGGCTGTTCTCGTAATTGTGGGGTGACTCCATGTTCCACGTCCTAAGCACCACTGGCTGCTGAGGCTGATGCCAGCTTTCTTGATCCACCTTATTCACACGTCAATGTTTATTACAATTTGTTGTGTAAAATTTAGGACCATAACTCAACACCTACAACAGCCACTTTAGTAAAGATATCACAAAGATTAAACCAAACCTGAAAACGTTTGCCTAAATATCTGTAAAACTATTTAAAAAAGTTAAGGAGTTTTGAAAAAACTAGGCTCTAGAAAAAAACAACACATAAATCAATGAGCCTTAATAGGTGAGGTTCTGCTGCAAAAATAGACTGACCTTAGAAAAGATGTCTCCAGTATCACTTGAAAGGCTTTTAAGAAGATCAACCAGAGAGGAGAAGCTCTTCAGCAGCACACTGTGAGGGATATCCAGCGAGCACAGCTCCAAGAGAAAAATCATCTGCCAGAAACAGGGAAATCGAGTGAGATTGCTGCAGCTCAGTCTATGCCTAATGACTGAGCATGATGGCAATCTAAAACTTGTCTTACCAGTTGTCTGAAGACGGTGGCCAGGATGGAACTGCCCAATTTGTCTGTAATTTCATTACTGGTGTACTTCTGCAGGAGCAAACTCAGTACAGCTTTGATGCTTCCCAGGAACTGATCCACATCTGTTGAAACAAACCATTTTAAAAGTGCTTGGCGTCGGATCACTATAAAACTTATTTATAATATTGGGCATCACCATGGACTTATTAGGGCTGAACTCAGCAGACCATCATCGGAAAAACTCACATTTAAGGAGGATTTCTCTTGCCAGCTCCAATGCAACAGATGTGGAAGCTCCCCCTTTGAGCTGGAGGTAGCACCACGACAGCAGACTTCCTTGCAAAGCCCAAAACAACGACAGGAGAACTGTTCTGCTTGCTCCACTATTTTCATCCACCATAATGACCTCGCACTGAAAAACAAAAAAGACAGGGAAGTTCAGCTTCACTTCAGATAATGAGAAAATGAAAAGGATAACTTATAAATGGTTAGAGAATATGACGAAACAGCTAACGTACCTCTCGTGTGGCTACCAGTAGAAGTGTTTCCATGACTGACAGTATTGGGCTGATGTCAAAGTCTGCTGGAGCTCCTTTAGGAGGAAGCAGGAGAAGGCCACTTGGATCCTGGTCACTGAATAGAGGGAAGAGCAGTTACTTATCTATCATCGTGCCTGAGCCTCTATTAGAATATTTAGCTATGTTTACATGTCCCCAGGACACTTACCTGAAATAATTACAAAGAGACTCAAATGTCACCTTCACCGACTCTGACTGATCCTCTTCTGTAATGTTTTTCTGCAGAAAGGAATACTGTTGTGTTTACTTTTTATCTATAAGGAAACAGCTCTAAAATAGACAGAATATTTTCCCAAATCAAAATGCATGTAAAATGCATTACATCTACATTTCTTGAACTCACCATCATGTGAAAGAGTCTATCCCGCCTTTCATGTTTATCAGGAAAGAAAACAGCTGCTCCATTGAGAATGGCTTTGACTGCTTCTTTATGCAAGGTTTTTTCCACTAATGTCTCCCCTTCTACACCATCAACCACTGAAACAAAAATATTCCTGAATTAACTCCAATAATTCAAAAAGCCGCATTGTTCAAGGGTTCCAAATTATTTAGGATGGCCTATTAGCACCTACGTGTTTTCTTGGGTTACTTTCCAAATTAAGATTTTTTAGAGGGATGCATGGTATTGCAATTTTGAAATGGGGCTGGAAAATGTTATCTACCTCTTTCTGTACATAATAGAACACAACCTGTTAGTAACATCATGCCAGTGGGATATTGCGACATACTGGCTGCAACCAGAACCGCCGTATATTGAATATAAAGAGAGATTAATAAGTAATGTTCTAGCTCTGCCTATCATTCATCTTAAAAGTAATATATAACACAAGATGGGCAGGTTTTGCAAGGTATGGGACGGAAACACATCTGTCTGAAAGCTGGCGGGTTCTTACGGTGGCAGAGGTGACAGTAAAGCTCTGACACAGCCTTTGTAGAGTCACCAAGAGGCTCTTCACTGCTGGATGTGGATGGACCGGCCTCTGCAGAGGCACCTTCTATTGGCCCTTTGGCTTCCTCGGTTTCCTGAGGCTCCAATGGGTTGGGCAGCATGGGAAAGCAATTCTGCATCAACTGGAGGAGCAGAACTCTGCTTTTCAACACCTCTTCTCCATCACTAAAAAGAGAGATGGCCAAATAAAGGGGAGGTCTCAGCTTTAAGGAGGTTTCCTACTGTGTAATAAGCCTTAAAATGTTCAATGAAAACAGTATAGAATACATATAAACAGTGGTAGAAGAAGAAAAAAAAACAAAAAAAAAACATCCACTTACATCACCCTGAGTTTACTGTAAAAGTCCCAAAAAAGGTTTAAGCTGAGACCACTGAAGTCCAGAAGATATTTCTGCTTGAAATGAGAGGCATCCTGCAGAAAAGGATGCAAAGGGCTATGGTGTCACAGGCTTAAATGACAAAACAGGGACAACATACCATCATGGATGTGAAATAGCCATTTACAGACTAACTCAATCTGCTCAAACAGAAGATGATGCAAAGTTTCCTAATGGGCCCAATGGGGGCAAACTGTCCCATCATTAACAAAGAATGAACAGAGAAAGTGAAAGCACAAGAGGGAGATCTAGGTTGCCAAAAGATTAAAATATAGCACTAATTTGACTCATACTTTAATGTGGTAAACCATCTCTTACCATGTCTTGTGTAAGCTGCTGTATGAAGAATAAAGTCTTGTTTAGAAGACAAAGGCCAGGGACAGCATTGTGATTAAAGGTCTCTGCCTGTGCACTGAGGTCATCCAGGTCTCCGAGCCTCTCTGTCCCAGGACACAGGTAACCACTGAAACTGAGGGACTGCACACCGAGGCGCTCAGCAGAGTCCTGCCTGGTGCAGAGGAATTTCACCATCAGGAACTAAGAAGACAAGAGATGAGAAATGAGAGAGAAATAAGGAGTGTGACTTGATAAAGAAAGAAACTGTTACAAGTGTAAACAAAAATACCTTGAAGACAAGAGCGCCAGCTTTTGTTGTAATTAACTGACAGCGCTCAAATGTTTGCATGTACACAGAGAACAGAGTATTTGGATGAGGTATGGTACCTTTGCAACACGACACTGCTGCAGCTTGATCTCCACATCGTTCCAGTCATCCTCGAGCTCAAACCAGCCGATCGGCTCGTCCTCGCTCTGGGCTGGAATCCTCACACTGTGGGTCATTTGACACAGTGTCCAAGTTATAAACTGAGCAACACTGAGGCAGATCACTCAGGAGCTTTGGTTCGAATGGTTACATATAACATAACTAACAATGCCGTATTGCCAGTTTTTTATTAGATCTTATTAACAGGTGTCAAGCTCTATAGTTTATCAGCCATGTTTGTCTTTTAATCACAAAAACAGACATATCAAAATATGAAGGCCAACTAAAGCAAGAGATGAATCCTTACTTGTCTTGTACGAACTCTTTGTAGTCCTTGTGTGTCCACACGTCATACTTTTTGAACCTTTTAAAATGTTTCTCAGCATCAAAAGGGTCATCTTCCTTGTATGCAAACACCAAGCCACATTTTGCTCCAATGGCTCCTTTTCGCACCTTTTTGCATAAACAACAATGTGAGATTTTTGCAGACAGACCCTCCATTTTGACTGTTATCTTGCCTTGTTGTGATCAACTGTGGGATCTTACTTTGATCTTCATCTGAGTGACCTGGAAGTTACTCTGGTCCTCTGTTGACAGGATCACGCTGGCTTTCTTCCTGCCACTTTCTGTAAGAAAACCTTAAAAGGAATAAACATTAAGTTACCCTCTAGGGAAGCTTCACACAGCACTTAAACTAAATATAAATTGTAAGTGGTCTATGGTGTACCATCTCCGGTAGAAGACTCTGTGAGCATGTTCTCTGGCCCTGATTTCTCCTCTTTACTCTTTACATCACAGGCCTGCAGGTGCAGCTGAAGAGGTTTTCCTGTAAAGAGCCGGCATAAGTGATCTTTAAGTTAAACATTTCATAATTTTCCACATCGGTGCAATCAGTTCTGCTCTGGGGTTGAAGTGTTTATCATCCAAATGAAATGAGACCTTGCAAAATAAACAGTAACCGTCCAGTACTCATTTAAATCCGGCTTGATATCTGAAATGCGAATAGTTGTGAAACAGAGCTGGTCTGCTTACCATTACGATAGAGCAGTCGAAGCCTAACTGAGGCCATAGAGACGATCAGGGAGGAAGCCTTGTACTCGGTCTCTAAATGATCACTGATGCAGGACAGAGCCTGGAGCACTTTTGCCACACTGCCTCTGGCCAGAGCGAATGCTAAGAGGGTCAATTCAGCAACAGGACTGACACAGCAACTAAACAGAAGCAGAGAAACAAAAACTGTGGTATTAGAGGATTATGTAAGACAAATAAAAATGTTGCTTTCTATGTTGTCCTTCGCTTTAAACAATTGGTTAGTATCCATACAGAGAAATAGCCATAAATGTTCATGCTACCATGTGCACATAAAAATCAACTTCAAATTGTTTCACGCTATAAAACCTTACTTCACTCTTCTGAAGCCTTTTATTAACTTTCAACCAACGTGAACATAACAAATGGTCAACACAAGGTATTTTAAATACTCAACAATACTAAAGGGATGATGGACTGAAATGGAGTCAGACGCTTTCAAGCAATTTCTGATGAGTCACAATGCTGCTGTCATTGTTGAAAGGGTGTTGAGATGACCAAGCAGACTAAAAATGGTGTCTTCACACACAGTCATCACTTCTTTGATTTGTATTCATTCAATTTATTTGAACAATCTCTACCTCTAAGGATTCCTTGAGTATAATTGATTGATCGGAACTGATTTTCTTTGTGACAATATCAGCATCATGATCTCAGTTTGGCAGTGATGGTTTTGTTCGCTGACCCCATGCAGGTCCTTACTTTGCTATCCTGAGTAGAAACCCATCCACTTCCTCCAGGATGTTCAAAGAGAAGAACTTGGGGAAGTCGGTGGATGATGGTGTCAGAGACAATGGTGGCATGTGCTGTAAGGCTTTCCTAGGGGGAAAAGGCACAAAGAAGGCTAAGCTCTCCAGCACTGAACAAAGAACTATTATAGAGTCAGATGGTTTAAACTGAAAGGTCATAACTCTCTCAAACAGTGTTGCATTTGTCTTAAGTATTAGTTTTTTGCATAGTCGTGAGTCTTCCTACTGTGTGCTCTGAAGGACAGTCTGAGCCAGAACAGGGTTGGTCTCCATGGATGCTGTGACCAAGGAGGTGAGGAGAGACAGGTACCAGATGGCTGAAGCATCCGAAACAGACACCTCTTTACTCTTGGTAATCTGATAGCCCAGAGTCTTCAAGCCATGAATCCGAGTGTCACATCCATCGCTCAGGCACCGCTTAATGTTGATTTGGATGTCTGGGATTTAGTGAAAAGATAATGCAGTTAGCCAACTGATGGAATACATCATGCAGAGATTCCATAGAGGAGAATATGATACAAGCACTTTCAAAGTGATCCATCCAAGAATTAGCTCATAATAAGTAAATGCATTACAATATATCAGTTGGAATTGAGCTAATAACATCTGACCACAAAACATTGTGGTTTATAAAGACTGGAACTCATTAAGCCAGTTACAAGTTTAAAATCACTCTGTCCATGTTGTCATCGTGATTTCAAAAGCTTCCAAATCCTTCTCTTTTTTAGCAATACAAAAACACGATTTTATTTAAATAAAAATGGAAAACTGAAATGTGTGGCTGACAGCATGACTTGTTTAGATTAATGGGAAGGAAAACCTCTCTCAACTCACAGGGGTGTGTGATATTGGCATTCTCTAGAAGAGCTACGTATCCTGTGACGTTGCTTGGGATGCGGATGTCTCTGATCTCCTGTAGGGAACGCCGGTTTTTCCCCACAGCTATGGAGACCAGTTGAGGCATATAGCTGTGGTCATTGGAGGCCACAGCAATGGCCAATCGCCTTAAAACCACATCTGGTTTCATTTTCAGTCTTAAGAAAAGAGAGAGAAGAGACTGGCTAAAGCATAATTTCTGATAAGAAAATAAACCAATAAACTAAATGACCAGACATGCATGAAATTCGGCAGCAAAATCCAATTCTACCTTATCCAGTGTGATCGAGCACTGCCGTCAGACTGCCAGAAAGAGGCAGTTTCACCATTTGTCATCTTGTAGATGTCAGCAACATTGGACGATGCCTCTATTGTACTGTAGCACTGCGTGACCACTTTGACTTTATCTACATCTGGATCTCGGTCTAGCTCTGCTCTGTATTGGATATCTAAATCTGAGAGAGATGACCTCATGTTAAGACAGTTTTGTTTTTTAACATCAATGTGAGACGGATGTTATGTTAATTATGTATTTAAAACCTAAATCAAGTTTAAAAATAAAAGGCGATGTTAAGCAATAAAAATGGCTCACCTTTCTCCTTCTGCAAAAGGAACTCCAGGAAGTCCTGGACCACACTGGACCTCATTGTGCAGATGCTGTTATATCCTTCTAAAATAGGGAAAGGGATGGCACTGCTGGGAATACGATTCCTGTGTAAGAATTTAAGGATTTTAGAGGCATGTGCTCCTAATCGGTCTTTGGTCTTGGAGAATATGTCAACAAAACCTGTGGAAGGAAAAAAATCCAAGAAGAATGAGACGACATCCAGGCCCCATGACAACAGAGTCGATCCAAACAAGCTTGACCTTGTCCACACAGGTAAACAATTCAAACATCTTGCCTGGCGTTAGGGAGCACGCCTGTAGCTGTCTTATCACATGACTCAGCTCTCCTTGTAGATTAGCTCCATTAGAGTTCTTAAGAGCAAGGAGCATGCTCTCTACGTCCACCACTCCATCCCCCTCTGCATCGAACTGTCCAAAGGCCTGAGATAGGGAAGAAAGATGGTGGGATAGACACAATCAATCCTGTATGCATTTATATCGCTATGAAAAGTCACTTTTTGGCATGAAAATAACAGATGGCACCTCTAAAATCAGGATGTTACTCAGACTTGAATATTTTGAGACAATCAGTGCAGCATTCAGTATTTTAAAGACATGGGAGGTACTGGTGTCACAGAAAAGACTAATGCATGCCTTTTTCTTCAGGCTTTGGTAAAAAAAAAAATGTGCAGAAACAAATACGTCCAACCTGTTAACCACTATAGGTGGCAATCTTACAGCTCATCAGTCTTACTCATCACACACCCTTTAGACTACTATAACGATTATATAGCAAAACACAATCTCATCGTCTGATTATTCATCATAAATGGGCGTGGTGACATGATAGTCCGTTCAACCTCTAAAAACAATACTACAAATGATGTTATATATTCAATCACTACATGGCATGTGGCTGGCACGTTTACTCCCTGGATATATACCTCTTCACATTCATCCCTAGGGGCATCTCTGCTTTCAAGCATCTCGCAAAATTGTTCCACATTAACGGATTCCTCTCCTCGGTTTAACCGGTCCTCCAGCCACCGCATCAGGACTCCCTCATTCCCGGACAGGACTGACTCGTGAATGGCGGCCCCTGAGTCGCTGATACGAGCTGCCGCTTCTCTCAGTTTCACTTGCTCTAGAAGGACCCCAGGGTTAGGTGGTCCACCGGAGGGTGCTGGTAGGTTATTCGATATCCTTCCGCTTCTCCCTGAACCGGTGCCTCCAACACCGCCGCCTGTGGCCGCAGAGGCCGGGCTGTCTTCCGCGAAACCAGGACTCTCCGTCTCTACGTCTTCCTCGTCGCCGCTACCTCCACCGCAGCCGCTCTCTGCGTTCCCCATGTTTGTTTCACCTTCCTATGCCTCCCTGGAAAATCCCTGCGGCCCACTGAATGTCAGTTTTGAAACGGCCGTCCCGGTCTGTACACAGACCTCTCTAACGTTCACCTACACCGACAACTCTACGGAGCACTACTACCGCATTGACGTACTGTACGTCAGATTTCCTGAAACGTCGCTTGCGTAGCTTTCTCGCACATGCGCAGTGGAGCTTCCTGTCGCGGAACACCTGCGCCGTCACTGTTTGTTTCAGGGGAAATGAGTGATGTAAATGAAGGATGAGAAGGGCTAACCAGAATGTTGAGCTATGCAGTGGTCGCGTTTTTGTCAGTTTCTTTGGCATTGCTCTTTATTCCTTACGACTTGTCCGTTAAATCAAGAGAGGAATCAGTCCAGGGCCCCCCTGTGCGACTGTTGAGTGAGCGTGAATTGTCACTGCACAACGGAGAGAGGGGCAGCAGGGGCCTTTACCTGGCCATCCTGGGGCAAGTTTTTGATGTACAAAAGGGAGACAAGCATTATGGACCCGGTGGTGGCTACCATTTTATGGCAGGTGATGCCCTCTCCTGGAGTGCGCTGAAGTCATGAGCTCTCAGTGTTAAACCATAGATTTATTTTACACCTTATTGTGTTCATGTCAAACATTTTAGTAAAACCTTCAGAAAACATGAGACGCTCACAACAGCTGTTGGTGCAGAGGCATCAGTTTAACATGAAATTTGTTTATACTTCCAGGTAAAGATGCTTCACTGGCCTTTGTCACTGGTGACTTTTCGGAAACCGGCCTGACCGATGATGTGTCCAGTCTGTCCCCTCTGCAGGTCGTGGCTCTTCATGACTGGCTGACCTTCTATCAGAGAGATTACCTAAATGTTGGTGGGTAAATGCTTAATCTTTTTTTCCCCCCCCATTTTGCACAAGACTGATTCATCCATGAGCTTTTAGACATTTTTGTCGACAAGCATTACTTAGTACAATGTTTTTGTTTTTTTAAAGAAATGCTTTTTAGCTACAAAAATATATAGTTTACGCAATACAAAGTATTCAGTCTATCAGTCTAATTGCAAATATATTGAGAACACAAGGATTGAAGATATCCCTACAACATAGCTAAAATGGAAAACATGTTTGAGCGTTGTAATTTTACAAAAAAGTTCTGTAATAAATGGGAAACCTTATTTCATAATTGCAAACATTACCCATGGGTCAGCAGACATCTTTGTGAAATATCTTGCCTTGAACTTTAGGGGTAGTAATAGGCCGATTCTACGATGAGGCTGGACAGCCCACAGAGGCCCTGTTGCAAGTGGAAGCCTTACTAGCTGAAGGCCAGCAAATCAAGGCCCAAACGGAGGCTGAAAAAGTGCACTTTCCTGCCTGCAATTCAGAGTGGAGCGCCGGCAGAGGAGGAAGAGTCTGGTGTTCTACTAAAAGGTAGGGAGACCTTTGAGCTCCGATGGCATCAACATCTATTTAGGGCTTTGTGCAACAAATGATCTATTCCAACATTCATGCTAATGTCTGAAATAGAAACACATACAAAGTAACTGACTTTATTTTTCTTTTTTTAAATGCCTCTTTGCAGTGGTGGAGTGATACGAGACTGGATAGGAGTCCCACGAAAGCTCTTCTCTCCAGTGTCAAACAGTGTTCGGTGTGTCTGTGTTCAAGATCCGTCTGCAGCGGAGGAGGATCCCAGCCTGCAGAAATACGATGGCTGCCCTCCACAGTCTGACTCATGCTCTGTGGGAGAGGACTAATCTGTGGCAGACCCTGAAAACTGAACAACTCATGGCTGCTTTTTGATCAGCACAAAAAGGAGGAAAACAAGGAGAGCTGTACTGGTAAATGATCCCTGTGAATTTTCCCCACTGGTGTTAGAATGAAGAGATTTCGGGGCATTGTTTTTTGATGACCTTTATGTAAAGTTGTCCTCCCTTTTTCTAAAAGAATACACCAGGAAGAGACAGACTAGATATCTGAGCATACAGATACAATACAGTGTGCATAAAAGATTAAACAATGTGCATAAAAGATTAACAGAGGCAAGATTTAGGTTTGTCACAAGCACAAACTGCATTTAAGTACAAAACAGTTGTAGTGGTCAAAAATATCACACATTTATCTGTACAATTTAACAATACTTAAAGAGGCCCCGCAATTTGGCCATGTCTCTACATAACTCCACATTCTCCCCAATGATCTGAAATGTCATGTGATCTTGATAAAGTGCACCTGTTAGGCTTAGAAATCAAGAAGCGCTAAGCGTGACGGCTGAATATTAAAATGAGGCAACATTGTGGGTTCAATGTTCTGAGTTACCGTCAGGTATGGTAGTTCAAAAATGGAATGTTTGTCATTTGGTGACATATTACAAAATATGATATTTGAATAAAACCATGACACACAAAGGCTACAAATTAAATGACATGCATAGTAGGCATTTCTGCAACTGAGAAACTGCTGAAGATGTTTAGTATATTGGACCAGATTCTTATCCTCATGATAAAATGGGCTTACGGGTTCCTCAACGGTTTAAAAAAACTCGGCATTTCCATTCAATCCTCCAGAAGCCTACACCTGCCACACACACACAGACCAACCACAGAGTTCGCAGCATGTACTTTGTCCAGTTGTGACACATTTTAACAGCTGATATTAGTGAAGCAGCATATCTAATTTGGAAAAGATTGTTTTGTTATATTCAATCCTTATTAAGTTTTATTCAGAAACTGAAAAAACAGGATGATTATAGATGGCATATGATAGTAGAAATGTTGAAAATCTATTGACCTTTGGAGCATGTTTAAGTTTTATTTAGTTTTTGTTGTTAATGGCAGCTTCAGCTTTTAAAAAACTGTAAAGATTCATTTTATAACAATGACTTTGTGTCTTCCTCAGAGACATTTAAGTTTTGTGGGCAGGGGGCGATTTTATTTTGTAAAGCACTTTATGCCATCTTTGTATGAAAAGTGCTGTATAAATAAAGTTTGATTTGGATGATCAGCACAAAAATACGCCGACTGATGGTGATAAAAATGTAAAAAGGCAAACCCCCTAAATAGATTATATTGAATTGAAATTTCATTACAATAGCTACATGTCTGTGATAATAGGAGCTAAATAGCACAAACATCATTAATTTTAGGAAATTAAGAAGCACAGTCCAGATATCACCAAGCTGGAGAGACGCTTTTATCTTAAGATACTTTGATCGAAACAAACAAAAAGACAATGTTTCACTTTCTATTTGAAATGTCCTTCTAGAAGATTAATAGGCTTTTTTTAATATAGAATGGAATAGTATAAAGATGATGGTCCTTAATTTGTCCTGCTTCTGACATCCCTTCTCCTGGTGTTCCTGAATAGCTGTGGTGTGCTTGGGCGGACATCGCCAAAGCCAGAGGTTGGAAGAGATGCTGGCCACAGCATTATGACACCCCGCCTAGAGTTAGTACGTCAAAGCAGATGTCGCACACTCTCACCGGTTTGTTCAAGTCAAACTTGATGATAGGTATCTCCTTTATAGAGCACTTGTGGCACAACAGGCGCCCACAATGGCGGCTGCAGTCAACAGCAAGGGCGTGTCGGAGACAGGAAGAAGGGAAATGGTTATTTACAGCAAACACTGAATAATTATTTACGATTTGGCTATACAGAAAAAAAAAAATAGTCCATCTACTAACCAGTGATGTTTCCGTGTTGTGACGCCAAATTTGGCAGCACATTCGTAGCAGTTAGACCCATCACACCATGGGGGCTCTTTGGACAGCATATCTAGAAACAAAAATAACTCTTCCATCTCAGATCACCATGCTGGTGGGTTATGTCATATCTCAGGCTGTTGTGAGCCCACTTAATAATGAGGATGTGTTAATACTGACCTAAAAGGCGAAAGAGCAACTGTTTGGTGGCAACTTGGTAGTTGAAAATGTTGATGCCCTGATTGTTAGTGACGCCGAGGCGAGCCCCAGCCCTCACAATGGCACGGCACAGGTTTGCATTTCCTTTCATGTAGGCCAAGAGCAGAACTGCAAAAAAAACAAAGGGTCACGCCATTATAGTGTCGGTAAGTATTTATGTGCCATTTGCATGACTACAAAAATAATAAAGCAAGTACCTGTGTTTCCCTCATTGTCCGGTTTGTCCAGGGGATATTCCGGCATGCACTCCAGAAACAACTCAAAAATGGCAGCAGCGTTCTCTTTGCCATAATGGCCTAACACATGCATTGGTGACTGACCCCTGAGCACAAAGGAGAAAGTAATGAAGCACAATAGTGCTCACATGGAAATAAAATTGTAGACTGCTGATATTTCAATCTGTTTAAATGCTGATCTCAAACGTCTGGCAGAAACTGAGAACCTGAGATTGAAGGCCTCAGCGTCAATGTTGGACTCTGTGAGAAGGGCTCTGACATTGTTAAGGCGGCCCTGCATCACAGCCAGATGCAGAGCTGGAAAACAAGACAGAAACACCAAGATCAGAACTGGTGAAGTTTAAGAGAAAAATAACATAAGAAAAACAAATGGAATTTCAGTAAACTAAAACTTGTTCAACATTTAGCCATGAAATAAACACAGCTGTGTATCACATGGTGATACACACCTAATAATAGTAATGATGCCCTGATCAGTAAATATGCAAAAGAACCCAGCTCAGTTTCCTGGGTTTAACCTCGGCTGTGGTCAAACACAGAACTCAATGGCTCGATTACTCCCACTTTCCCGCCTGAAAAATGGATGTATTCTGTGGAACAGTGTCCCTCTTACTTGAACATGGGATTTGTTTTCAGATCTGTTACACTAGGTAACCAGGCTGTGAATCTGTGTGTTAGAAACACTGTCGTTTCCATTCTGCTCTCATAAGACAGAAACACTGAGCCATGGTTTGAACTGCTTATCTGTTCATTATCTGTGTTCAGCACATCATGTGGATACAGCATGGTCAAAGTCCAGCGTGCGGGACATCTTGCGGTATGAACGGTTGATTGAAACAACCTGAACTCACTCTACCTCCTCTTTAACTTGCAAGAACAGAATAGTGTTTGAGAATTCAGTCAGCAGTTGGTCGGCATCCGCGCACGAAGCAAAACGAAAGGAAGGTAAAATGTTTCGTTTATTTAAATAGATTGTTCGACAGTAGTTAAATCAACTAATGTTTTGTTATATACCCATAAAAGTTACTCACTCTAAAACTTTGGACATAGAAAATATTGAGCGATGCAACATACCATTATTGCCGTTCTCATCCTCAGCAGCAAAATCGATGCCATTCTCCAGCAAAACAGAGCAGATAGTGGCCAGGTCCTGCTGGGCAGCCAGATGTAGCGCCGTCTGTCTGTGTTTGGTCACCTCATTCACTTTGGCTCCAGCAAGCAACTGAAAGCAGAAGAAAACTATTAAAAATGAACCAAACCTTGACTAATGCATGCCTAAAGACAATGCGGTAGGCTGAGAAGATGATGGGTTTCTACCAGGTTGCGGACGATGATTTCAGAGCCAGCCTGCACAGCCAGGTGAAGAGGGGTGAGCTTGGCTGCATCCTGAACCCTGGAGTTGACGTTAGCTTGAACACTGATGAGGAATAGGACACTTTCAATGTCCGAGTTTTGAACGGCCACATGGAGGAAATTCCGCCCTTTGTTGTCCACCTAGAGAGAGACAAAAATCTGAGGTCACAGAAGGTTTAACTCTTCACTTTTTTTTAAATCAGTGTATTTATTGCTGTGCTACCTGTTCAGCAGCGCCGGGCTCCCTTTTGAGAATAGCTTCTGCTGCCTTATTGTTTTTGTGTGTCATGGCACATGCAAACGGAGTCATTCCTTGGCGGTCGCGAATGTTGAGTCGAATGTCTGGATGGGAAATGAGGAGCTGTATAATGACGTTGTGCCCGCTGCTAATGGCGGCGTGGATGGGAGCTCTGCCCTCTGCGTCCTGACAGTCAAACAACACATTCAGATTGAACCATTCCCCGTGTTGAAACAGAAAACTTACAACTGGGCCACCTTTTACAAAACAGAGGACGACTCTTTGGGACTGACCTGTGCGTTAACATTTGCTCCAAACTCTAGAAGGCACTGCACCACCTCCTCCAACCCCCAACTACTTGCCAGGTGGAGGGGTGTTTGTCCATCTCGGGCTTCCTCATCTCCCTCCCCATTAGGACCTGGCCGCCTGGGGCTATTTACATCACTACCACTGGAAACGTGAATAACAGACAGTGAAGATGGCGAGTTAGGTCAATTTAATGTACAGTTTATAGAAAGCTGTGGCTAAGATTAGCACTAAAATGGACTGAAAATAAACAAAAGCTGTAGCATTCAAAGTAAATAGTAAATTGTTTAACCTATAAATAGCCTTCAGATATTTGTCCAATAATGTTTACCAATGTGATCTTTTGATTCTTAAATATAAAAACTGGAACCAAATAAAAAGCAACATACTTTTTTTGTTGTAAAAGATTAATAGTTTATGCACATGTTTGGCGATATGCAAGGTTAAATGACCAACCTGCGAATGAGGAAGCAAGCGGAGACCTCGTTATTTTCATCCACGGCTCTATGCAGGAGTGTCTGCAGGCAGCCAGAGGGCCCTGTGCTCCAGCAAGTGGCATCACAGCCATGTCGGACCTAAGGAAGAACCAAACAGAAACAGTCAAAATGAAAAAATATTGTTTTCTTTAGTAAATCAACACATTTACCATCATCAAGTATCTATCAGCAAAGTAGACAGTTTTCCATTCATATTTTTTGTCTGCGTCACCTTTGACGTTTTATAACCATAAGTAATGTTGTTCTCCGAAGTCCTTGAGTATTAGGAGGACTAAATAAATAATAGTTGCTATGGGGTTTCTTTTTGAGTGCCTCTTACCAGCGTAGATGCAATATCTTCCAGGCCATTCTCAAGGGCCAGCCATAAAGGAGGGTCCCCTTTGTCATCAATCACTGACATATCAGCCCCTCTTGTACAAATAGCATCCACCACAAGTGGAAGCTGGTTACTGATGGCCAGCTGTAGTGCTGTTTGTCCCTCTTGTGTTCTAGTAGAGGAGAAAATTGATATGAATCACTGAGAACGAAATCTAAAATGATCAGTTTCTAAATCCCTTAATACTCTCCTGAAGATCATAGACTGAAGTGTGACTAAAGCACACGTACATAAGTAACACTTCGAAAATAAGATGGCTGTCCGAAGAAATATGTGATGTATGAGCATCATAGAGGGAGATTCAATAAAACAGTAGAACCCATAATAATAATTATAATAACTCTATGGAAAACAAAATTTTTGACCTATCAAAATAAAATCAAATAAACTTCACGTATAAAGGACAGGACATACTGTAAAGCACAATAACTTTAAATACATGAATTAGGAGTTTGAATATATGCCTGGAATTACCTGACATTGATGTCTGCTTGATGTTCAAGTAGGAATAGAGAACTCTTGCTGTCCTGTCTTTGGATGGCCATGTGAAGCAGGGTTTGTCCATTGGACATAGTGTCGTTGATAGATGCCCCCGAGCCCAACAGCTGAGCTGCTATGGTGTGCATACCTGAGAGGGATGGACTGTACTTTAAAAACATTTATACCAACTGCTATTATTTATGTCATACATCTTTTTGATATTAAGAAACACTTGTGAAAAGATATTCCGTTCCTGTGGTTTGCTGTGTACCTGTCCAGAGGGCCAGGCCGAGGACTGTCTGGTCCATTGAGTCTTTGAGACTGAAGTCTGGAATGATCTGAAAGTTGTTTGTGGCATGTAGTGCGTTGGCTGCAAACCATTAAGAGGATAATATCAGGATCAATCTCAGCATGTTTATGGCCATTAACAATTCTGCATCGTACAGTAAAGTAGTCATTTGAGGTAAAGTGTTCATTTTACATACCAGTATTATTTGCAATTATTTGAACTTCAAAAATAGCTTTCCAACCTTTTTGCTCCAGGATGACAGACACCACATCTGGGTGGTTGTGGGCAATGGCCATGTGGAGGGGCGTTTGCATAGCCCCACCAGTAGTGTCATTCGGCAGTGCCTTCTCGGTCTGCAGGTTGGGGTTGGCCCCTTGCTGGAGCAGCTCAGCGGTCAGGCTGGACAGGCCACAGCAACATGCTGTGTGAAGAGGGCTTTCACCCTGTGGGCAGGTGAGGGGTTCAGATCTTAGTTGAGCACCACAGACATATTCCATCCACCCGTTATGGCTACAATGCATTTCTGAAAAAGCATCTTCATACAACGAAATACAGATGACTTGATGGAGACTTGTGATGTGCCCACACAATGCGTTCCATGAATCAACTTATTAGCATAAAAAACATCTCTGCAGTGGTAGTTTTAGTATTTTACAGGTGGTTTGGCGGGGAAATTCTGGAAATCTAAAAATAAATTGTTTTTAATTAAAAAATCAACGTCCTTTATCATTATGACCAGGAGACTCTGTAAAGGGTCAGAACTGAAACAGGAGAAAGACATACAATCCGCATCCTCTAAGCCTAAAAATATGCATGTTATAAGTTCAAATGGTCATACGCACCCATTGGTTTACATGGTTAACCTTTGCCCCATGAGTGGCTAAAAAAAGGGCAGCGGCCTCACTACCTGCCCGAGCAGCTCTCTGCATGAGGCAGTTTCCTGTAAGGAGTATGAAGAAGACAGATGAGGATGGTTACGTGCTTCACACACAAACACGAATCCTTTTGGACAGAGACGTAACTAAGGGTTTCTTAAAAAGCACCTGTTGCAGTGTCAGGAGCATCAGGGTTGCTTCCTCTTTTGATAAGCTGGGCCGCAAAACCGTTCTCGTCAAACGAAGTGCCGTTGACTACTGGTGCATCTTCCTCAAATGGGTTGACTGAGGGGTCTGAGGACATGGTGATGTACTGCAGGGCAAGCCACAGAGCTGTGCTGCCCTCGTGGTCCTTGAGTTCCAAGTCAAGCCTAAAAAGACGGACGGATTGAACCAGGTTTCTTGATGGACTATTAAATAATAACCAGCGTCAAATGATTTTTAAAATCACTGTTCTATTTCATTGGCTTATTAAAGTGATTTTATGAGATTGATTAACTAAACACTGCAACACTTTTTGGGACGAAACTCATTCCATTTAAAGTCAGAAAGCGGCTCACTGTTTGCACTGTAGTAGCTGATTGAACACGGCATCGTTTCCCGATGCCACGGCTTCATGCAAAGGAGTCCTGAAAACAATAAAGCACCATCATACTTTGCACAGTAGTTAACCATCTCCACAGTTCAATAAAGTTCATGAACTAAGTCTTGTGACTTACCTGCCCTTGCTGTTCTGCATGTTAGGGTTGGCTCCAGCTTTGAGCAGGGACTCTGCGATCCGAGACATGCCGCTCATCACCTCTGCAGAGTGTTTTTTGGGGCTGAAAGAACAGACTAAGTGAAGTGGGGTTTCCACCGCCCCCACTGTGGCTGCATTCACCTGAGCTGAGTGGCGAATGAGGAAGATGGCAGCAAATTCATCACCTGGAGGAGGAATGAAACAATGAATGAAGCAATCCAGTGACAGAGGCTATAGGAGAAGGAGCTTTGAGAGACTGGAGAATATTACCAACATTTTGACAAACAAAATAACTGGTGTACATTTAAGGTAAATTTGTTAGTCAACTACTCGATCAAAACAGAAAAAAAAAAAGGAGGATATAAAGTACAGCAAGCATAACTCCCCCTCACCTCTTTGGATTGCCTTGTGTAGGAGGCTCCAGCCACTCTGGTCCACCATATCCACATCAGCTTTGTTGTTAACCAGAGTAGTGGCTATACTTTCTAATTTACGGGAAAGCGCCAGGTCTAGGGCCAGGTCACCATTGTTGTCTAGTTCGTTTAGCTTACCAGGTAACTAAAACAAGGTGGTAAATCCAAACATAAGAAATCACAACAACAACAACAACAAAAACTTAGAGAGAGACACCTTTATGTCATAGTGCTGTAAGATAAAAAAGTCACAAACTGACCTGGGAGTCCATCTCAATGAGATACAAGAACACCACGTCTTCACGTTCGACTTTGATGGCTTTGTGGAGAGGATACTCTGTTTTAGATTTGATCATCTTGTACAGAAGTTGGGCACTCATGGTGCTGAAATCTTCTTTCCTTAAATCATCCTGTGAGGGAAAAAAAAGTCAGTGTAGAAAAATGATGTTTTCACAAATTCGGTCACTTTCTAAAAGACTTAACTATTCAGATAGTGACTTATTACTGTCTGACTTAATACGTAAACATTTTCAATCTTTTGCAGAACATAATAAACGCTATAAATCAATGCTAGTGAATTTTTTTTAAAATAAAATAGTAACAAAGATACTGAGCTTATAATTATATTAAGCTTTAACCACAAAGAGCCAAACTCCTTTTGAGCCGTCTGCTATGGGCATGCACGGACACGTGTTTGGATACACACCCAGTGGCTGGCGATGATCTCTCCACAGTAGTTCATCAGTGTGGTGGCATTTAGCTCCTCAGCTGTCTGGTAGAAGCGAATGCAGTTCCTGACATTCACTGATGACATGACCCCTTTTTCACACCTGTTCCAGTAGAGGGGCAGACGGGTTTTTAGGGGGCGAGGTGTTACATGCTGCACCTCAGCTTTACACTAAAGCTGAACCTAAAGTTTGCGAGACTTGTTCCAACCTCTCTCTGAGGAGCTGAAGCTGGAAGCGATTGGCCAGTTTCATCAGGTCAATAAGGAAGGCGTCATCCTCACTCAGCTCCAATTCGTCTGTGTAGGCCCAGCGCAGCATTGCCATGGCAACCTCAGGTTTGCAATCTGCGAATTAGTCATTAAATAATTTAATTCCAGTTATTGGACCATGATGCAGTGGTGCAAAGCAGTGTGAGGAGTCTGTGCACTCTGGAGACTGGATGCTCTTTAGCACTTGTGTGTCTGATTTTTCCTGTCGGGCTCATCTGCTCTGCACTGACTGGTGTGGTTTCTTTCTTTCCAGTGTAATTGCAAACAGTGCCCACTACTGCGGCCACAGTCCTGCTGGAATGCACCACATTCGCTGGAGTGTTGCTCACCGGTTAGGTCCAGTTCAGAGGTGGAGGCCATGTTAACCAGGCTCCAGACATCACTGCGGGCAGCCAGCACGAACCTGTGAGCGCAAAACTGGTCCCCTGCAACCTTTATTTTCAGGTCACTGAAAAACCAACACAACCTCTCAGAAAAACAGTCGGGACTGAAAATATTCTCCCTTTTAAGCAGTGCCGGATTGAGAAAAAATTGAATCCATTCCAACCACGATGCTCACCTGTACTGTTCCTGCTGGTAGAGGTTGGCCACGATCTCCAGCAGACGGCTGATGAAGGTGTCTGCTGCGGCCGGGCTGGAGCAGCCCTGGCCGGAGGCGCCCTGGCCGGAGGCCTGAGCAGCGAGGACAGCGCAGCGCCGCTCCGTGTCGGCCAGCTTCTGCTGCATCTTCACATACTCCTGCCTCAGCAGGGCCAGGTGCTTCTGCAGCTTGGCCACCTCCTCTGTCACACATCAAGGTTAAAGGAGACCGATATCAGTAAACACAAGCGAATAAGAAAAAGTAGGTCAGGAAGACTTGTTTAAGAATTCAAGCCAGAAGTGGACTTTTAAGCCACAGAATCCCCCAAAGTAAATATGTGATCCAAATTAAACAACTGTTCAAATATACTGCAGATGTAATCTGGACTCATTACTACAGCAATTTCACAAGAGCATTGCCACTGTTTAAATATACTCTAAAAGAACAAAAGAACAAGGTCTCAAAGGCAGTAGCTGAACTTGTACTTATGTTGAAGATTTAGGATTATGCCTTGAGCAAACAAAAATCATTGTTTTTTTTTTAGTAAATCTTTCTCTTTTCCTCCAGATCTAATCCACTTTATACAAAAACCTCCTGACACAACAATGATTCCTGTCTTGACCAAGAGTCCACTGAGTTTCATTTCTGGCATTTCCTTCCTCGAAGCCAGTAAAGTTTTAGTGAAGAAAGAATGCTGAGGCAGCACATTACTGTCAACTCTATCGTAAACCGTCACTGACAAGAGTTGCTGGTCATGAGAAACAGAAAGGGGGTGTTTCTAACAATCCACATGATCAACCCAGCACAGGAAGGGCGGTATGCTGTGCCAGCAGCTGAGGAGCATCTGATCAGCCAGTGGACAAACTCACAACATACTAAAGTCACTCCAGAGGGGAGGAGAGATCCATCTGGCTCCAGATTTAAATAAAATCAATTCTAATACACGATAGCATTCATATACAATAGAGGCTAATGATTGAACTGTTTGAATGAAATGTTGCTGTTTTGTCCAGACTCCTGACCACAATCTAGTCTTTAGTAGTGTTGCTCTGCAATTCCCTCACAAAGCTTTTTGCCAGCAGCATGAAAAACCAACCCTTTTCGTTTAATTTCTCAGGTGGCTCTCCGTCATTCATAAGACTGACCCAACAATCATTTCACTTTCTTTAAATGAATAAAAAAAGAAGAAGGCTGTGTAAAGGGCTGCTGCAGCTTTAACACCACAGGACGGAGTGTTTGTTCCCTGGATTCAGGTTGGTAAGCAGATTTCCCTTAAGGAGTCCCGGCTTAATATAGGTGCTGCCCTCAAACCTGGCACTGCTGCCAGGTGGGGCAGGTGATACCTGACAGGGAGTGGACATACATTTTCTCGACAAGTTTTCTACCCTCACTAAAACCCATTTCTGTTGCGTTGGTAAAATCAAACACCCCAACAACACAGCAGAAATAAATGCCGTAAATGAAGCTGTCACTGTTACTGAACTTTAGATGAATTTCAAATCGATACAGTTTGATGTCAAGAATGACGTTTAGATAAATAAAAAAACGGATAACACCATTAAATACTAAATGTATAACTTAACATGCTATTCTAATTGTGCAATATTTTAATATCCTCATGATATATTTATGTTTCCGCAGTCTAACTCATGGCGATAAAACGCAGCTAGCGACATTAACGGCAGCTAGCGACAGATCCTACCCACTCATGAGAGTATGACAAGAAGTGTCGCGGTGTACCGTAGTATCAACCCCTGGAAATGAAGGACACACTTCATGTCAATGCATTCTTTTCCTATTCAAAACGTGCACGATCCCGGCGCAGTAAACCGGGCTGTATGAAATAGTAGAAAAATATCAATCTCATACCTTCCGCCATGTTGCTCAACGTTAGCTCCGTGGCCTGATGGTGCCTATCGCGATATGATGAACAGTGGGCGGTGGTGCTGCGTTCAACTGGCTCACAAAAATTTGGTAGATAAAGGTTAAATCACATGACGGTTTGTTCTTCTTGCACACAGCTCTAATACTCAACAATATACAAGCGCAAGTGCGAACTTGAGTGGTTACGATCAAGAACATAGGTCTTTCAAATAACTTAGGAGTTTTTATAATGCATTGAAAGAGGACAAAGTTGATTAAATGTGAAGCTTGGTAAAATATAAATATAAAACATGAAAACATGTTTGATTCAACAAAGTCAAATGTACGGCCCCCCACGATAAAGCTAGGTTTGGACAGTTCTGTTCCAAAGCCAGCATATGGTTATTACAAACATGAATGCTGATAATGATGTGATCTCCGTTGTCACTGAACTGAACAGCCCCTTCTCTTAGGAAAATTATGTACAAAGCATGACATTCCTTAATGTGATTAGTCATTGTTATGTACGTCTCCAATTGCCAAAAAAACATTAATTAGATGCAAAATTGACTTTATTGTGAGTTTTCTTAAATTAACAAATATAGCCCAACACACTCAGTTGATTGACTCTATAGTACCAAACATTCTAACATGTCTAAAGTTGAAAAAGGCTGCAGCCTCTTCAGTTCCTTATTGTGAACATGGAGTGGCAGCTGGTAGTTTCCTGGTGCCTACGCTTACAAGAAAAGACATGTATTTGTTATAAACTTATAAAGTACGAAGTCCCAAAAAGTTCAGAGCAGATTGAATATGGAGGACTTCACATTTGTACGAGTTGGGATCTGTTTGAGCTATTTGTGGACATCTACAGATTCTAAGATCATTTGACTATCTACTCAGGCCATCGTCCACACATTGCCCTACTGTCCTCTGCTCAGAGGAAATTAGGTTAACCAGCAACAACTTAGAAGCCACCGATGACACCTGCAAATGCCATGAGCTGAAGTCTGCTGGTAATCCAGTGTCAACAACAATGAACCCTCAGAAAGAAAATCAAGTCTTAAAAAAAAGACACATTAGCTTTGTTCAAATGAGTAGCACACCACATGAAATAAAATAAAAAAAGATGGGGAATTTACTGTCAAAGCTGGAGTAGTTTGGCCACAATGACCAAAGGCAGGTTTGAAAGCATAGAGTAATCCAACCAATGAAGACTGGCTGTTGTTCACAGCCGTGGGAGGATCCTGCTGTGGGGATGTTCTGCTGTGAGATGAACCGGAAAGCCCAGTAAGCAATGAAGGTGAAAGCCTACTTCAACAAAACCTCAAGCTATTATCGACACATCTGAAAGTCACATACAACCGAGCCCGTGAAGCGAAATCATGCTTTTAAATCTGTCAAAGTTCAGGCTTCAACTTCACAAAAAGTAAGCAGACGCTGTTTATGGAACATTCAAATGAAGTCTAATGATGCTGCCCAGAGAGAGTTGTTGAAGTAGTTGAACAGAATTCTACAAGAGGCTCAATGGAAACTACCAACTGCATGCAGTCAAGTTGGAATATTCTTTCTTCACTCATTCAATCAGTTTAACAAAAAGAACTCAAAGAAATGCCACTGATGTTCACATTTTTAAGTGTAGGTAATGGATGAAACTAATAAAAATTGGGATTGTGAACTATATTTTACAAGTACATAGTGTATATAAACTGGAAAATCATGGATTTCAGTTTATTCCTTCTTTACAGAAGGAAACATGTTTACACCAGCGATAATGTGGCTTAAGACCAACAACTCCTCCAAGGACTTTTTCTTGGATGCAAGGACAATTACTTCCTTTTATATGCTCTGAAGGGTGACCGTGCTGAGAAAACACATTCTAATGCAGGTAATAAACAGATTACCTGTTCAAAAAGCTATACAATATGATTTATCTGATATGGCAACATAAACCATGAGTGAAGGCCTTTTAAAAAAAATCTTTAAAGAAATTAAAGTTCCAATGTATTTGTGCATTTCTGAAACTTTTCTCTAAGCTGAGTCTGAATTAAATACACAGATAAATATTGAAAAAAGTCATGTTTTAGAAGAACTCACTACAGGTGACATAACACGGAAAATATACATCGGTTTTTTTGTGTTTGTACATTAGGCAAAAATGCACTAGCTCAGTGGACAGAGTAATAATGAATTTGTGAATGAGAATAAACAGCATCAAAACCTAAATGGGAACACACTGTGTACACAAAAACTCAAACATTCGCAAACAAAAGTCCAAAAACATTCAGGAAAAAGTATGACAAAGCATGCATAACAATTCCTACAATGACCAACACAGACGAGGGAAAGAACAGCTAAAATTAAAATATTGGGATGAGAAGACCTCAAATTTGCATAAGGATATAAAAAATAAACATGTTCACTTCATAGTGGGGGGGGTATTGCTACAGTAAATTGTTACCATTACCTTAATTACACAAATCCCCTTTGTACTGGCTAATATATACATTTATACTATAGCGGCAGACAATTTTTTAAATTTAATTTCAGACATTTTAACACTTGGTTAATGAAGGGTGAAGTGGCCAAGTAGTTTATTAGGAGGCACTTTAGAAAAAAGAAAGTAAATTTAGCATGCACAAAAATTCATCCGAATGTGTCTTTCTTTCTCGAGTCGACTGAGCACAAAGGTTGGAACTAAAACTGACAAAGAAAAACAAAATCATTCAGGTATACATATGAAGTTGAGTTCTGGGATTGTTACAGAACCCATGAGAGCACAATATGGCGGTGATCCTCGGGATGTCATTCATATCTTGCTTGAACCCGACAAGCTCCTCACAGGTGACATTTCTCCAGGAGCACTGATTCATTCTCTTTAAGACCTCCTGTGAAAGTAACCTAAAGACATCTAATGCATGCTGGAGCCCAGAAAAGGAAAATGGACAAAAATAAATCCATCCGAACCAGCGCTATATATTTGGTCTAAATGTCTTGATGGATGGAAAGGGAGCGTATATATTATCCGGTTTAGTCTGTGCTATTTACATGTCTTTACAATATCTTCCTGAATGTTGAAGCAGTTCATAGACTTGAAAAATGTTTTAACATCTTCTGGGCTTTTGTTTTTCTTTTTGGAGTTGGCACTTGCTTGGCGATTTTCTGTCAGCCATGGTAGTCACTGTAACATTATATTGCAGCCTACAGCAGCCAGTCTGTTCCTGCCAAGATGAAGGAGGACAAGCCTGGTGACGTGGTGGAAGAGTGCAGGAAACGGTGCCATGTTGATTTTCAAATTGGAGACCTGGGAAAAACACAAATAAATGTTATTCAGAGTCACTCTAGTAAATAGTAAAGAAAACAGCAAATCCAGCAGAGATGAAAAAAAAGTGCTTTCTGTCACTATATGGTGTTTGTGTACATTACAATAATTATACAGTAATTAAATATAAGTACAAGGACTGTATACTGTATATACTGTAAGTATATACGGTATTACGAAATATATTACTTGTTGCAAGTGAGAAGTAGTTACAAAAAAGCTAAACAATCTGGACCAAATGGACCGAGTACATGAAACTCTTGCAGTTCAAAATGCAGTTCAGGACTCACAACTTTGTCTTGTTAGTGATGGTATGCTTCCTGTGAATATTGATGTGTGTTTAATATTCTTAAAATGTCTACAAATAAAGATACAATTTAAAAAAAAGATTTTAAAAAAGGTAATTAATACATATAGAAAATAAATGAGTATACTTGCCCTGAAAACATGAACCTAGTTCTTTGCTAAATATCACTCAAACGCAGTTTCTTGGCTTTTTCGTACACAGCGGGCAACTTTCCTTTTGAAGGCGCCATGTCTGTCTTCCCTCCACTCTTTCTGTAGGGAAAAAAACAAAAAAACAATGACTACGTAATTGTAATTAAGTCACTATTAAGCCATCTTTATACCTACACTGAAATCCTGAGAACTCCAGAAACGTCCTGATCTGATGGCATGCATTAGTGCATATTTCTACAATATTAGTTCAGGACTTTTTGAGAATATTTTCCCCCTTCTAAAATCTTTGAACAAATTTCAGCAAATGAGATTATGCATGTGAATGCTGTTGAGAGTTGGTGCTTTCTGCTGACTTGAATGTTACAGAACAATGGTGATGTAACACAGCAGAGAGCCAGAGCCTTTTCTATTCACTTAAATGTAGCCAAGTGATTCGTCCCTACTAAAACCATAGCTATGAACATTAGAAAATAATACTACAATTCCACAATTATTTTGTCCTGATAGTTGCACAACAGAATGTTAGTGTACACATTTTTGTCACACTCTTACAAACTGGTCCCAGTTTCAATGATATATCACCACAAACCTGGGTTTGCAGAAATGTGTTGTTCAACAACAAAACAAACAAAAAAAAGATTTTAATTGAAATGCACATTGACTGCACACTCAACCAGGACTAGCACACTTACTGCAGCATCCACATTGGCTGGTGAGTCGCCATTTGGGTCTGCCAGCATAGAGATAACGCTAATCATGATGGTTTCCACAGTGTGGATGGGCAGCCAGCGCTCCTCTGGTTTCTCATAGCCATACTTGTCCTCCCCAGGCTCGTGCAAAATAGAAATGCAAACATCTCCATTTTTGTCAACTGAGGGAAATGGGGGAAAAAAGCACATCTGAAATTGGTTTTACTCTTGGGTTTAATGGACAATATAACTAAGTTGACATTAAAATAACTGATCTTTTTAATTGATCTTTTTTTTTTCATGATATGAACCTAATCTGGGACAAATTTACAACATTCCGACTTTAAAGACTGTGGCATCTTGGCAGCAGTTGCAGGATTCAGTTTACAGAGTAGAGTTGTCAATTATATGGGAATTAATCCACTTATTATACCTTCACAGTTCATTTCCTTTATTTATCCAAACTTTAATTAAAACAAATACATATTTTATATTCAATAGATTTTACTAATACCATACCATAGAAACTAAATGCAACGATGCAGATATAAAGCAGTATACCTTACAAATGATTACACTGAATTGATCAATCTTGTAACAAAGATACAGGAGACAGTTACACATCTAACCCATTTAGCCTATTTAATCTGTTCCCAAACCTCGACAGATACCAGGCTAGTAAACCCAAATTAATTTCAACATCTAACCAATAACAATATACATTAATTCAATTCAATGTACATGAACAGTAATGACTAGAAAAGAACTAACAAAAAAATATATATCCATGGTTTCCACTAAATTGTGAACTCAATCATGTCCTTGCAAACGACAACAGACTGAAAGGTAGGTATGAAGTGAAATCCCTGCAGGTACACCAGATCAAAGGAAAAACTGACTAATGGGCTGAAGAGCACTGAAAAAATGTTGTGAATTTCCAGGAGCAGAGAGTCTGAAAGCCTGGAGAAAATGTGTATTTTGCATGTGTATCCAAACATTGTTATGATGACAATAACATTATGAACTCCTTCAGATCATCTTGTAAGACATAATGACATCATGCGGTAAGCTACTATTCAGCTTTAATCCATTTTCTAAACAATGAGTCAAAAAGGTCAATAGAATGTGAAATAAACTCAATTCTATTACATTATTATTATCAATTTCAGTATTTTTACCAAAATATAAAATAACCATTTCAAGACTGTAACATATAGTAATGTTTACAACATACTAGAAGAGCTACGCCTTCACTTACCGTTGGGATGCCAAATATCTGTGATAAACTTCATTTTAGGAGGCCTGAGGGGGTAGTCTTTGGGAAATGTCAGATGAGCTTTAAAAACACCGCCTTCACTGTAGACACAAAAAATAAATAAATCAGAGAAACATAAGAATGACATGTAAAAAATCCCTCCAGCTTTTTAAAGATATATAGATTAATAGAGTAAACACACTGTCCTGTAATATACAATTTCCTATACATTCTAACTTACTACAGTGTATCTGGAGGCCCAATGATAAGGACCTCCCATCTGTAGAGATCACTGTCCTCGATCAGACCTGCTGAGAATCCCTCCACAGGGTTTTTGTTCAGCTCTAGATGAAAACATGTGAGAAAAAGCACAAAAAAGATCACAGTGATCAAACTTCATGGCTCATATAGCAGCTCTACAACAATTACTGGATTCTCACTTTTCTGTAGGCCGCTACAGAGAGAATGTTACATCTGGTCTAAAGAGGCCTTGCTAGGGGTTGAGTAAAAAGGAGCGTGTTAGTGAAACCACAGAACCCCAACAGATCACTTACGGGATCGTGCTGCAGTTCTGCCCTACTTTGTGCCTCCTACTCCTTCCACACAGCTCAGACTACATTACTAATTACAAAACGTAGTCAGATATCTGGTTGACTTTGATAGGTGGCATTGTTTATTAGTTTTTCTTTTTTTTTCCAGTTTTAAAACCAATATTGTTTCAAATTGTATGTGTAACCTAAATTTAAAAAAGGAAAATAAAAAGCACCACATACACTTATCCCTCTGCATGTTTCTTTTTAGGCAATTAGAAAGACTTGTTTAGCCTCTCCTGCAACTTCCATATTGTCATTGAATAAAGGAATGAGTCTGAATGCCAAAAATGATCAAACCCTAAGAAATGTCAATAATTTGGTGTTTAACTACCACTTAGGCAGATGGGAAATATGGTCTTGAAGTCTCATTCAATAATGCATCATTCTTCAGCTACTAACTGGTATACATGTGTTCTTAACAGTGGTCCATTTGCATCACTCAAAAGACATGTTTGATGCCTACAAATAATTATTTAATGGCTTGCAGGCACCCCCACATGAGAAGGAAGTAAACTAATAAACGACATGAACTTTTTCAGTCTTTGGATATAGGGTTTTTTTCAGTTTCAGGCAGGTTTTAAAACGACTTTTCTCCTTGTAGGATTGGCAAAGAATAAAATGTGGTAGAGTACGTTTTGAGCTGAGAAAAATAGCACACCGAGTTCCTGTCAGTTTGCATAGCCAATCTTCACCCTAAACTAGTCCATTAATTGAAACAAACTAAACTGCAACAAAGTAAAACGTAACACGATATGGGGTGAACTCTGCTGCTTTCGAAATGTGACTATTTTTAGAATATCTAAATTTATTCGCACCTGACACTGCTAAAATAGCAAATTGAGGTAATGCGAGATTAACATTAGCTTGTTAGCTTAGCTATTTGGAGCTAACAACGGTTACAGCAGCTAACGTTAGCCAACAGATGAAGTGAGGTGGCTAAATATGTTAACAATTCAGTGTTGTTAATGACGGAAAATGCGCCAACTAGTGACGTTCATTAATCTGTGCTTACAAATAGAAACTAAACGCAAGATAAGAGCATTACTGCTAAACGTTTCGCTTAAAAATGCAAAACCCCACTTGTTATGTCGGCTAAAATACATGTAAACACATCGAGTTGAACCAGCTAGGAGCTAACGTTGTGCTCACTTTTAGCTAGCCTGATTCTGGAAAGTCGTTGGGACTTCTGACAGCGGCTCTCAACTGTAACCAGCTCCAACATCAACACACAAATTTACACAAGTTAATCTCCCTACACACACCAAAGACAATTATTTGTAAAATGACTTAATACATTTTTTGACTATCGCTGAAGAAACCACGGGGCTGTTGTTTTGTTGTAGAACATTTAACGTTAACATAGAAGGTTCAAGAAAAACAATTTGCGCCAGCAGCATCGTTCCAATCACAGCTACATCGTTTCTTGTAGTGCCTTCGTTAGCTGGGTATTCAGCATCAGTTCATATCAAGGTTTAATTACCTGCAAGCTGTCTTCTGAGTAACAGCGCTGACTGAGGCTCTGTCATAGTTTAGTAAATATAACTCAGCTATGTTCACAGGTGATGTTTCGAGGTAACAATGTTAATTTAACGTTCACTTAACAGAATCCTTCCCTTCTATTTTCCGTTTAGCATTCTCGTCATTCTTCTTCTTCGTCGCCTTTTGCTGCCACTGCTGCTTTTTCTTCCTCGTTGAAATTTTGCAGCGTCGAAGCATTACTGCCATCTTCTGAACATTCAACATCGTCAGCATCAAGGCGTAAAATGTTTTAGTCAGTAAGTATAATTGTCAGAACTGTTTAATGAAACATGCTAAACGTGTTACATTTCTTTTACAACTACCACCTCACTGAAAACACGTGTCATGTTCTAAAACAAGATTACAAATAATCAAAATCAAAATCATTGGCCCAAAGTCACCATGAAACTGTCAGTCTACAATATGTTCTTGTTAAAAAAAATTGAAAAGTATACTAATTAGCCCTATTTATTTACTTTTTTAAAAGAGCAAACTTCTTGCTGTATACATATTGATGCACAATGCTTCTCTTTTGGTACAAATGGAAATTGAACTTAATTTTCTATTTCTTTTGTCCAACTGCTTATTTGTAGCAGTTGGTATATCCTTTGGACTTTAAGATTTAAGTTGACTTTCAAATACAACTCAGTTTATCACCAGTAAATGTCTTATTATGAGTGCAGGTCATATTTTTCCACCATTAAACCACACGCAAATTGAAATACAAACACCACCCAGGCCTCGAGGGCCACTGTCCTTCAGGTTTTTTTAGGTTTTAATGCTTCAACACATTATTTGACCCAACACAACATCAGCAGTCCTCTGTAGAGATTCACAATCATTAGAAGAGATCCGTTTAACCTGAATCCAGAGAGTAAAAACTCCATTTAAACTAATGAATGAAATGGTAAGCCGATGTTGTGAGTGGCAAACATTTTGTGAACCACTGGGATCAGTTAATCAAAGGGGAAATTGGAGTCATGTGAATTGAATAAATTTAATGATGAATTGGATAAGGGTGTAAGTGGGCACTTAAATGGATTTATGATCAGACATTTAAAGATTGGGAATCTATCAAAAAGCTTCATGGAAACGATTATGTTGTTAAAAAAGTGAGAAGATTCCTGGTTCGAATCCTGATTGGGGACATTTTGTGTGGTCTTTTTTCCACTTTCTGCCCATGGTGTTTATACAGTATAAGTTATATGGGCTAAATTATTTCAGCAGAGTCCTAGGACGTCAGCAACACATCAACATCCAACATTCTAATTGTATGGTGACCTATAGAAAAGTGCTTGCATCACTAAACGGGTTCACGGTTGCATCTGAATTCTAGGGCTCACAGCGTACACTACATAAGGACAGCAGACACTTCTAGACGCAACTTCTAGCTACAAATAATGACATATATGACAGCAAGATACATCATCGTACAGATGTAAACAAGAGTGTTATGAATGATAAGTGACAAATAAGAATATGCATTTATCTCTTTATTTTAGAGATGTGACTGCTATGTCCTTATTTTAGAACTAAGGCGTTTTATTTTATCACACTTTTAATGTAGTTTAAGGAACAGTCTCTCACTTTTTAAGTGAGGGGGAGGAAGTTGATTGGTAGATGGGATTCAGTCATTCCTGGCAGTGGTGATGACACCTACAGCCGAGGTGGTATGTAGTGGGCTTAATCATGTCTGCCTCTGCTTTTTCATCACAGAGTGGGTTGATACTTGAGCCAGTAAAACTGAAAGATCTATAAACAAGATTAAGTCGTATGCAGTGTTTCTATGAATGGTCAGAGGTCATGTTTCCGGAATGCAGTGATGATGCAAACTTTTAGTTTCTGTTGCTTTGTAATCTGAGTGATACAATTCACACATGGACTGACTGTAAATGTTTGAGTTCACGCGATTTTTTGTGTTAGCAGAGGAGAAGTGACAATGAAATTGGGCAGCATTGCATCAAGCCAAATCTTGAAGCATATGACCAGCCCCGAGTGGGCTGGCCCTATCACTAACCTAATCTTGAGTGAAGTTAGGACAGACCTCTGTTAGCTTCCTGAAGTCTCAGAGTCACACTGAGAGCTCCGCTATTCACTGGCAGCCACAACTATGCAAAAATAATATGAACAGGGAAGATTAAGAATCTGCTCAAAGACACCAACAACAAATCGGTGAGTTTATGTAGATTTAAGACAATTTGGATAGGTTAAAAGCACAGTACTTGTATGAAATGATTACATCAATGATATAATCACATCAACTGGAGTGATTGTAAATTTGATAAGGGGCAGCTGAAGCTTTAACGGTGCAACTGTTCTGCTTTGTGGTGTTAAAAGAAAAGATTTCATGCACAATGGTCTCACTGTTTTCACTGCTCAGACTCTGCAACCTGGGCTCGAAGTTTTCGGCTTCTCAGTGAGTACAATGTTGAAATCAAAATGCTGTACTTGTTATATTACAGTTTTTTTGTTTTCTGGGTGCATCTTTTGCTTAGCTCTAATTCTTATGTATGCCAATTTCTTCGAAACAACAAGCATTAAATAGTTTCCTTTAAGCAGAAGTTATCAGCATCCTGGTCGTTGCTTAAAAGAGGTGTGAAATAGCTGAAAAAAGGAGCTTCCTTCTACTTTCTCTGTTGTTTTGACATGATGGTTCTTATGCACTGGTGTAATTTCCTTTTGTGTCATATCTTTCTAAATAGATTGGGTAGCTTATTTCGTGCCAACAAGATTACTTTTGGCCCTCAAGACCTCGAATGTAATACCTGAGAAGAGACATGTACAACATTCGTTTTAAGAGTAGATTAATATGCAGGCAGACATTCACAGTTGGTCGTTGCCCGCAAACTAAATAATTATTTTTATTTTCTAAAGTGTTGTTCATTGTTAGATCTAGATGACATCACAAACAAATGGTCTGTGGGAGAAATTTCTATAAATAAAACTATTGCCAAATTACAGTCATGGGTTTGCAGCCTATTAAAGTCTGCAAAATCAAATAGAATTGCCTTTAAGTGAAAATCCTTCTTTTTTTAAACTATAACTGTTTCATCACAACTTCCACTGACTCAGGAGGCCCGGTGGCTTATTGTGTTTCTTAGCCAGATGTTTTGTTCTTACTGAAATTTGTTTAGCAAAAATGCGGGAGAAGGTGCAGTTTGTCTTTGCTTAAAAATATCCTCCTGTACTTTTTCTCACAAGGAGTCAAAGAAGAGCCTGTTTGTAATACTTTATGTACACACTGCAGCATTTCAAATATGTTTCATGCTCTTTGTATGTAGATGAAGAAAGAGCAGCCTGCAATGGAGCCGAAGACTTCTGAGACCTCGGCCCAGGATGGACCAGTGCCTCAGTGGAACGTGGCCTCCAGCTCAGGGCTTCGTTATGGCACTCTTGCCAACAGCGTATCATCCATCGCACCATCTGCATCAGAGAAACCCACCATAACTCCGACCAGGGCTTACATAGCCATAGCTGTACTCTGCTACATCAACTTGCTCAATTACATGGAGCGGTACACAATAGCAGGTTTGATTACTTCCTTGTGCTGCTCATTAACACATGCTGTTACGTCAGATTCACAGTGAAGTTTATATTTATTCCAGGTGTCCTCTCCAAAATCCAGATCTTCTTTAAGATTAGCGACAGCACAGCTGGACTTCTGCAAACAGGTATGAGAATGCACAAGTGGTCTTTATTTTACCTGGATTATGATTAGACTACTACTGTTAGACAACATGCCAACAAGTACTGTTGGTTCTTGAGGTGCAAATACATAGCTTAAGACAGTGACACCTGCGTATGCAAGTATGGGGCATTTCTAGTTTCCAACACTGTAGAGCTGTGTTTTGTTCAGTGCTTCAACTAGATTTTCTCTGGATTACATTCTGAGTGTTATTTGTGAGTGATTGAGTGATTGACTCAGACTGACACATATGTTTTGTGTCAAAACATGCAGTCTTCATCTGCAGTTTCTTACTCCTGGCGCCTCTCTTTGGTTATATGGGGGACCGCTATAATCGCAAATACATCATGATTGGTGGCTTGAGCGTCTGGCTTGTGACAGCGGCTGGCAGCTCTTTTGTCACTGAGTCGGTAAGTGAAAAACAGTTGTGTTCACATACACTTGCCTAACAAGAAATAAGAAATAAAAAGGTTGAATTGAGTCATTTCCTGCAGCCACAGACCACATGACAGTTCAGTTGATCAAGAGTGGTAAAAGCACACAAAGCAAAACTACAATAGCAAGCCAAAGTAAAGCAGACGATGCAATTTCTTGGTAACACAAAAGAAAAATATTTTGCTGGTGCTGATCTAAAATTATGCTAAGATAATGATTTGAGAACCAATTTAGCTACTTTTAGCTACCACAAATTTTAGAACCCAGATCTCTGAGGTTTAGGGTTGCTCTTTGTTTCAGATCCACTTTAGCTCAGCTATGTTTCTTGTAGGACTTTTGGCACTAATAACACTTTTGGTAGCGCCACAGTATCTCCTCTATCTGAGATCTAACTGGCCCATCAACATAAAGCTCTTACACACAGTTAGTCATTTTGGAGTAAATATTTCTTTCAAACCCAGTTTTATTTCTCAGGTTAGGGCAAGCCAATGTGTTGCAACTTTGATGGGAAAGAGATATTCAACTGTATTGTGATTTTGAACCATACCAACTTAAATGTGCAATAGTGAACTTTTTTGTCTCATATCTAGTACTTCTGGCTTCTCGTGCTGCTGCGAGCGCTGGTCGGTGTAGGAGAAGCCAGCTACTCCACCATTGCACCCACCATCATAGCAGACCTTTTCAGTGGGGGGAAGCGCAGCATCATGATCTGTGTGTTCTACGTCTTCATCCCTGTTGGGAGGTTAGCAACAGTTATTTGGAGCTTTGCTGGTTCTCTTCGCATGTTTAATCACCCTGATCTCAGACCATCGCTGTTCAGATATGACTTTGAAACTGATGGGAAACTGTTGTGTAAGATTTAATCAGTTGTGGTTTTGACTGAAGCAACATTGCCCCAGAATTGTAATTGCTATGTTGTAGCTTGTAACAAGCAGTGTGTTGTGAACTGTTATTTCAGTGGTCTTGGATACATAACTGGGGCTGGGAGTGCTTTCCTTACAGGAGACTGGCACTGGGCTCTCAGGGTGAGATCAAATTAATAATCATTAATAACACACACATACACATGTATAAAGTGAATGACTTTCTGACATTTCTGGTCTATGTCCTCAGATCACTCCCATCATGGGTTCAGTGGGGCTCATCTTGATGATCTTCTTGTGCCCTAACCCACCGAGAGGTGCAGCAGAAACTGATGGACATGGATTAATGGCGCAGAGCTCATACCTGGAGGATGTGAAGTATCTTCTGAAAAAGTAGGGTGTAAAAACAAAAACTGGATTTCTCCTGTTACCTGCATCACATAAATGTATTAACTGTGAATATTTTTTACTCACACGTGTAACAAATAGCATTATTTGGGACAAAGTTTCCTCAGTTGTATAAATTGTTGTGTCTCTGTTTCCAGTGGGCTCTCCATGAAATTACCCTGCTAACATCAGTGAAATCAGATTTCCATTCAAACTTACGTACATCTTGATGTTTGAAACATTGTTTAGATATTATAATCAGTGATATTACGTTTCTGCAACAAACGGATGTTCTCTGATTCCAGTTATTGCTCTTCTTGTTTGTGTCCTTTTTTAATTTAGCAAAAGTTACGTGTGGTCATCACTGGGAGTTACGGCTCTCGCCTTCCTCACCGGAGCCTTGGCTTTCTGGTTGCCCACTTTTCTATCCAGGGCTCACATCACTCAAGGACTCAGAGAGGAGTGCACATCCGACCACTGTGACTCTACAGACAGGTGCAGCATGGCCCTCCTCTTGCATTTCACCGCCTCTTTAAATGATCTGTAAATCTGAAACAAAGCAATGTCCTTCTGCACCTCATAGTTATGGCTTTGGCGCTGTGACGGTGGTAACAGGCATTCTGGGAGGAATTCTGGGCACAACCTTATCTAAACGGTTCCGGGATAAGGTGCCACATGCAGACCCACTCATCTGCGCAGTGGGCATGCTTGGATCTGTCCCTTGCCTTTTCATCATCATCTTTGTGGCATCTATAAGCATTCCAGCCACTTATGTAAGGCTCAAACTTTTGTTTGATGTCCTCTTGCTTAACCGTATTTAATCTACACTGTAGACAAAGTAAATCTGGGCTGACTTTAGTCCAATATTTTGGTTTTCATTGCAGGTATTCATCTTCTTTGGTGAGTTGTTGCTTTCACTGAACTGGGCTGTCTTGGCTGACATACTGCTGGTGAGATTGGATTGTTTCTTTTTTGTGTCTATCTATCTATCTATCTATCTATCTATCTATCTATCTATCTATCT